TCAAAGAGGGCATCGCAAGGTGTATGTGGTTAAAACACAATTTATTATAAAATATTAATAATTATTTATTTTAATAAAAACCAACTTCTTTAGTTAAAAATATTTTCAAGAATGAAAAATGTGTATTACATGAATTCAAAATATGTATAAACCAAAATCTAAGGATACTTAGTTTCAATTAAAAAGCAAAGTTAAATGTTCAAAGTAAATGTGGGAAAACCCCTACAGTGTACAAGGTGCCCAAGACCCCTGTAGCCAATTTTGGTCAGTTCTTCAAAGTCAGGAAAGGTTTCCCTTGGTTTCCGCTGCGTGTCTTGTTGAAAGTAAATGTAGTCCAATTTAATGCCATCCAATTATGAACATAAAAAATCATCTCTCGAAAACGATAGAGGAATGGATATACTTGGGTCTTCATCATTTCATCTGGCTACATCATAAATATTCGCATTTGTTCATGAGCGAAGAGCAGTTTTTAATTTTCAAATCACACTAAGCTTCCGACTATTACGGATGTTTTGTGTACGTCAATTAAATATTTTCTGTGGAAGAGGAGGATATTTTATCCTCAAAGAACCCAAAATGTCGAAAAACAGACGCTAAGGTTTAATGATGCGGCTAAATCCTAAAATACCTAAAGGCAAAAGGCTAAGGCTATGGCAAAAAATGGCATTATACTGAAAATATTCTTCAAGAGGAATAATGATCTTCAGAAATTCTAAAACCCCTATTTATTGACACATTATTCGACAAATGAGGCTAGGATCTTTAAAATACCCAAATAGTACGAGACTCTTACATGTGGGTGGGCGACATCAGGACATGGTGGTATATTGAACTTTTTTTGGCAACAATGTTTCCTTTATCCCCCCAAGAAACCGAAATAATAAATTATAGTCACATCGATTCGAAAATGAGGCTATGAGGTCTACCGAAATGCCAGAAATTTGGCGGAAAATGTATATGGGAGCTATATGAGCTATGACTTCGACTGGACAATGTTGTTGAGCACCACCGCAAGTTCTAAAATTGAGCGGAGCATTTTTCTATGAATGAATATTGAAAAATGCGGAATGTCAAATTACAGCCATACGTGTTGTTGGAAATACACCTAGAACGATGAATATGCGTACATATGGAGGCTATGGCAAAATATGGACCCATATTCAAAATGGGTTTTCAACCTCCAATTACCAAGACTGCCAAATTACAGCAATTTCTGTTAAAAACTCTTCTTCATTTGATCGGCATCGTTATATGGTAGCTATATAATAAAACGTTGACCGATATATCATATTTCCAATACGAAACATATCTATCTTCAAAATCACCAATGCATCCCTATTTTTTAATCATCAAGGATCAAGGATCATTCCTTTTTGGATCCGATTTATTCCTTACATTTGAAACTTCAAAAATCAATATTTGGAAATGGTGTAACCACTTTACACTACACCAATATTTGCCAACTTATTATCAGTTGATATGTGATGACTTCAATATATTTTTTTTTTTTTTAATTTTGATATGGCAATTTTGTTGTTCTAACTGGTCATAGATAAGACAAGGACGTTCTATAAATGTAGTTAATGATACAAAAAATAGTAAAATTCATATTCATTATTATGAGTAAAAACTCAAAACAATTGACGATTATAAAGACGTCAACGTAGTAATAAAAACGAAGTAAAGAAAAAAATCAAAACAGAAAAGGTAAAGGAAAAATTAAACTCACATTAAATAAGATTTAAAATTTTTATAAAAAAATAAATCCAATTGTCTGTCTACCTGTTTCTTCCAGGAAAACTATAAAATACAAAATTAATCCATCATTAAATGCATTGCACACACATACACACACGTACAGATACTCGTAGACATTTTTATGGAACATTAAACAAGTGCGAAATGTGTCCAAATGGATATCGGAATTTGTTGAATTTGTATTGTCTGTCTGCTGTAGACTTAAGTACAGGTCGAATGGTTGGTCGGTCAGGTAGAAAAGACAACAAATAGACAAACACTTTGCAGAGATAGAATGACAGGCGGACGTACATTTAGTCAGTTGAAGATGTGTATCTATGTGTTCGAGAAAAACACATGTCCAGAATACCACTACTTAGAACATTTTTCGGTTGCGTACAATATGTACGTACATATGAAAGTAACAGCTATTAGATGTTGTACTTAAGATTATACCACATTATAATGTTGTTGTTGCTGCTATTGTTTTTGTTTAGAATATTTATGTATTGATTATTGTAATGGTCTTAAGTAGAGCTGAACGAAATATGTAATGACTACAACTACTTAGGGCAGCAACAGAAGAAAAGGACATGTGTTCATGAGGACTACTCTACGCCACTTTGTATTTTCACTACTGGTTCAGGTAGGAAATTGGGGAAATTTGTAAGTGGCTATTTTCAGTTTTAAATAGAAAATATAATTTCAATAGCACCATTGGATATTGAGTAATTTTTTTGGTTTTCGGTAGATTATTATAAGGGATATGTTTAAGAAGATTAAGGGCATTTTGAACAATGCTTTAGATATGTTTTCGAAATGTATTATTAAATCCACAACTATTTCAATACCAAATATATGAGTACTACTAGCAATGGCTAATCAAGAATATATACTATTTCGAAGATTATTGGTCGCTATAGGCGAAAGTATATCAAAAAAAGGCAAACATTTTTTCGGGACTTTTAGATACTGTTGTTATAACCGATATTTTGATAAAAAATCGGTGTCGTTATAAACGATTTCGACTGTTTTTTATATGCTGAGATCCCGCAATTACAGTCATCAAAAAAAGGGTGGTGGTCTATGAAACTAATGTCCTACACATTGAGAATCTCAGAGGACTTATTAAAGATAATTCCGTTTGAAAATGTGAGATAACATTTCAAATCTCAGGTCTTTCAGGACTATATCAGAATTTCCTCGGAAGATATGTATCCAGTGGATCTTATTTAATGGAAACTATTTTATTTTAGGGCCATGGTCCCATATTTCTCAAGATATGAGCTTATGAAGTTCACTATTAATGTTGCCGTTCGGAAACAAATTCGGACCAAAATGGACTAAGATCAGATTTTCGAACCATCATTTAAAATTCCACGCGAATTACTCTAAATTATTAATATGAAAATGGACCAACCTACAGACAAAATTGAAGATTTTTCGGACCAAATTTGGTCCGAAGTGTCCAAAACGGCATCACTGTTCCCTATACATATAAAACTAACCGTAGAATATTGCTCGGAAATTCAAAAATTTGATCTTTAAAAAGATTTCAATATCGGCTATAAAATAAAAATATTTTTTTGTGAATATGTTCACGATAATAGCCTTGCTCATGCCTGTTCTAATAACTAATAAAAAATTGAGGCACTTCTCGTACTCCAAAAATTCTTCGAAATTTGCCTTATACCATAGACAGACGACAGCCTTAATTTGCATTAAAATGTTCTTAATTTGAATTAAAATTTACCCCTGACAGACGAGAGTTTCTGCATTTATGAACCAGTTTTTTGTTTCAAAACTATTGTTTGTCTGTGTGTAGGAAGAAAATATTGGCATTTCTTTACAATATTTTTTAGGATTACATCTTTTTGAAATTGATACATTGCAGGAAGGAAAACTAACAGCTATAATGAAGATAAAACAGCTCCAAATTTGAAGAAATGTTGAATTTTGCCTTTATTTCTAATTTTTATTTTCGTAAACGTAAACAAATTTGACAACAATCAATTTATTTTCTACAGCATTGCAATATTGAAATTGCTTAATTCAGTATAAATTCAGTTTGATTTTGTGCATTAACAACACATAAAAATGAGGATATTGTACAAGATAATTTGAATTAAGGCTGTTAATGCAAATTAAGGCTGTCGTCTGTCTAGGCTATTAGTCTGGTTCGAAAGCAATGATAAAATGCAAAAGTACTTACGTAATCTAGAGATAAATATATCGACAGGTTTAAATGTCCAATAAAATAAACACAAATGTAAATCACAGAGCACCGATCTATTAAAGCTTATGAAAAAAATGAAGGAACATAATTCTGATCTTTTAAATGTACAAATCTACACAGGACCTATGGTAAACATATCAGAAAAATCCGAAAAGATGCCAACAATAAATATAAATAAATTCTTGAAATCTATAAAAATATAAAATTTGTCAATTCACTTGCAAACACCTCGGAATATTCGTCGGAGCAATTATATTTCGGAATAGCCACCATATTTTTTCACAATTTTCCACCACACAATTTTTTCACAATTTTCCACCACAGGTCCACAGACTTCTATTGTCCGCTACAGATTCGAAACTATATTTTTTCCAAGACCGCACATATAAATACCAAACCTCGCATAATGAACTTTTATTCTAATGACGGACTAGACACAACACTGTTTTTATCGGAACAACCATATTTTGGAATGAACTCCATATTTCCATCATATTTGCTATTTTGAATTAATAAAAAATGAAAATAAAAAATAAATAAAATATACCTTCGGTGGGAACTCAAGTTCCAAGGGGTCCATAGAAAATATTACTTGTTCCGCTATAAATTTGAATTTTTCTTAGCAGCACTCGAATAAAGACAACTTAAAATAACATTTTGAATACAAAAATAATTATATTCAGGTTCGAAGTGGACTCTAGTTCTACAGGGTCCATAGACATCTATTACATGTCCCTCAATAAATTTGGAACGATTTTTTTGAGATCGCGAATTTAATTACTAACCCTAGCATAAAACCAACCTTTTATTCTAATGGAATAGAAAAATGCAATACATGTATGACTTAGTAAGCTTTTTTGTATTGATATTGAATTAAATAAAAACTATTTATTTTGTACTTCTAAATATATACTGAGATTTTGCCACAATTAATAATCAAAGAAATATTCTGATTGGAAAATTAATTTTTCGGCCCTATTTATAATCCTCTCAAAAAATATTCTCGAATATTTTCCGCACTTACCTTGACTTGCATTAACAAAATCGGCACCAAATAAAATGCAGCATACAGCTATAACCAGGAAAGCCTTCATCAGTGATGAGGTGGTAAATGCCGGTTGATGAATTCCAATGGATGGTCGGTGAGACATTGCAGCACTCTTCCTTTTTACTTTAAGTGAAAAACTATAGGAAGGTGGGGATGAGGTGGAGGTGGGGGAGGTCGGGTTAAGTTTAGTAATTCCAATAGTACGCCGACGACCCTTGTTGTTATTATCCATTATGGGTATGCAATTTTTTTTAATGTTTAAAGGGGACAGGACAGGTGGTGAATGAGAAGGATTAACACAATAGCACACAATTTACGATATCATTTTGAACAATATTTATTTTTTGTTTTCTTTCAAAATTGTAAAAATTTCTTCAATATCTTTCAATTTTCATATCACAAAACACCAAAACTTCACTTTATTTGGGAGGGAGAATTTTCACTACTTTTCTTTCGGATTACTTTTTTTATGACATTTTCTATTTTATTTTGTAATTAACGATGTTTTTCTGTATTCCAGGAAATACGGTTCCTCTTTTTATTTTTGGCGTCTATGCCTCTTCCTTTTGCGAAGGCTTTTCCGCTCGCTCATACAGAATTTTTGACAGTTAAAGCCCCGTTACTGTTACGGGGTTGGCAAAAGGATTGAATGAAAACATTTGCAGGCCACAACAACACAACAGCAGCAACAACAACGGAAATGCTACTTAAATATCCCGAAACTTCGTTATTTGTTTTCTTCTCCTTCCTTTTGTTTATTTATTTTATATTTTGCATAAATATTACATTTGCTTTTTGTTTTATGTTTTCATAAGAGATTTAATAACTCCTTTTTTTCATTGGGTACACTTCCACTTTATGATTTTTCCTTTTGAGCTTATTTTTTCTATATCTCCCTCTCTCTATTCTATACACATTTCTGACATTTTTGCTATGCCTTGTTGTTTAACTTTTTCTCGCAGATTCTATTTCACACACTTCTTCCTGGTTTGGTTTTTGTGCAATTTCTTCCTTTTAGCAGCACACACACACAAACATATACACAGTAAAATATTTCTTTCAACTTGAGACGAGATTAATCAAGTTCGTTCATTGATTTGTTTTCGTATTTATTCCAATTGATATATAATTTATTTTCTTTTTAATTTTATTATCATTTTCATTCACAATTAATAAGTTTTGTTTTTATTTTTCTGTTTTTTTTATCTTTCAATTGAAATCTTCCGCACGTACTAACAACTCCGTTCCATATCAACCGCTCATAGCAAACTCCAAATACAAACTGAGCAGCAAAAACAATACACACGCTGAATGGGTGGTTATTCGCTCTCTCTCTCTCCCTCGTTCGCTCCTTTCTTTAGTGTACATCAGATGGAAAGAATAACCGGTACTCAGATCACCAACAACAAAACAAGCATTATTAACGAAGTAAACAATAAAAGAAAATCGTAGATAACAATTGGAAGAGAGACAGAAAAAAGTGTGATGCAAATGGTGAGAGAGAGAGAGAGTTGGAGAAAACATTGACATTAATTAAGTGTGGTATACACATTTGCAATGGAATGGATGTGAAAAATGTTGTCAATGTTGTGATTTTTAGATAATGTTTGTTTTATAGAAAATAATAAGTAAAAAAAGGTGTATGTCCCCGTATTCAAAAATTAATAAATATTCTCAAATTTATAAAGGAAAAATCAAAAACAATTTCGATTAATAGAACATTATTTTAGGTTCTGAAATGGACCAAAGACCTCATAGACCTTTATTGAAATATTTCCTTTTTTACAAGGAGTCCGAAATACCAAACTAACACTACTTGGTGGAAAAATATGGCTAAACTTTTCAAAATATCAAAAATTAAAATATCGGATTTATTAAATCCAGTCGATATAAATTGTCAATTCCATTCATAAATGTCAAAAAGAATCCTCATAAAGGAGTTCTATAAAGCCGCATTTGACAGCCCTATTCGTTCAGAGGCGTTTAAAGCCATGTCTGCGTTTGGCATTCCTGCAAAATTAATTCGGCTATGCAGGATAACCTTAACTGACACAAGATCAGCAGTTCAAGTCGGAAAGGACCTCTTGGAGACCTTTAATACCGAACGAGGATTCAGACATCCTGCTGGAAAAGGTCATACAAGAGGCATAAGTGAACAGAAATGACACTCTGTACACCAAACAACACATGTTAGTCGCCTACGCCGATGACATCAACATAATGGGTCGAACACTGAGAGCGGTAACAGCCACCTTTGAAGAAGTCTGCCAAAGTGGGTTTGGCAGTAAACGGCGAAAAGACCAATCTGATGGTATCAACGCGCAAGACGTCCAGTAGACTCGGACCAACAGTGGAACTTGAGAACTACAGCTTCGAGGTAGTCAAAGATTTTATATACCTTGGTACCGCCATAAATAAACCTAATGACATCAGTTTTGAAATTCGGGGAAGGATAATGATGGCCAACAAATGCTACGAAAGTTCTGTCACAAGCCAGCTAAGTAACAAAGTATTTTAAGGATTATTCAAGGCATGGATTTTTATACCCTTCACCACACTGTGGTGCAGGGTATTATGTCTTCGTGCATATGTTTGTAACAGGCAAAAGGAAACCAGATACACATGGTTCCTTTTGAGAATATGCATAGAATAACATTCTAAATCGATTTATGCATGTCCGTCTGTCCATGTTAAATTGTAAACAAAGGTCGCATTTATGATCCGAATTGGATGAAATTTGGCATAGGTTACAATAGGGTTCGTCCCTATTGGGAAAAAACGGTTCAGATTTAAATATAGCTCCCATATACATTTTCGACCGATTTAAGGTTAAATGGTGCATCAAAGTCCCTATATATCTTTCGGTTTGCACGAAATTTGGCACAGCGTAATGACTTAGGTATAGAATGATGTGTGTTAAGTTTCCTTAAAATCGGTTCAGATTTAGATATAGCTCCCATATATTTTCGTCCGATTTATGATAAATGGTGTACCAAAGTCCCTTAACAATTTTCGGTCTAGAATGATGTGTGTTAAGTTTCCTGAATATCGGTTCAGATTTAGACATACCTCCTATATATATTTTCTTCCGATTTTACGTAAATTGTGCAATAAAGACGCCAAGTTTGTCCGATTGCAACACAATTTTTGTACAATGAACTGTAGTTAATATAAATTATTCTCTGGCAGGTCTCTCTGACCAAATAAAAAATTTAGTATAGGTTGCCATTGTTTATGGATCCAATTTAATTTTACTGGTACTTTAAAATTACGACGTCTGTTAGGATTCATATGTTGAATATACCCAAAGTGGTGAAGGGTATCATATAGTCGGCCCCGTCCGACTTTACTACTTTCCTTACTGGTTTTAGAGAATATTTTTTCCATGGTTTATTTAAAGTGTAGATCTTTTATATATGTCGTTTTTATACCGATCAAACCTCATATGAGCACCAACATTATTAAATTAGCTTGATAATATTTTATCGATTTTCAAAACGCCATAGTTGTCAACATTGCGTTTTGTGGTAATAAGTGAATTGTTCCATAAGGTAGAGTAGGCAACACTGTGTGTGTGGTGAAAATGGTGTAAACTCTGTTGTTCTTAACCATAAATGAGAGTGGGACAATCTGACACAGTGTGGTCAATATAAATACCCTTAACAAGGTAGTTTTCAACATCCTCGATAGTATAGTGGTTAGTATCCCCGCCTGTCACGCGGGAGACCGGGGTTCAATTCCCCGTCGGGGAGAATTAAAAGTTTTTGTAATTCTATATTTTTTTATTTAAAATTTGATGTGTACAGTTTAAATGATTTTTTTTTTAATTTTGTCAGCCTTAAAATTCTCAGGTGTAGTCATTGTCCCATGAATCATGATTGCATACAAAATTCACACAAAACAAGATAATTTTGCATAACATTTGACATCGACATCCAAAATTGAATATTAATATATAACTTCTGTTGAAATTCATAATCCGCGCACAATTAAGAAACGGACAAAGAACTTCCCAATGAACGGATGGATACATGGGACACCCAAAAGTTCGGAAATGTTTTTTTATCATATCACCCACAACATGGCTTGTGTCAATGACATAGAAAACATGAATGGAGGGAGGACTATGTGTATGAGTGTGGCTGCCAACCAAAATACGCACCTTAAATTTAATGGTTAGCGGACCAGAGCTTAATGTTCGTTCGCTGGAACGGTTTATGCAAAATGACACATTTACAATTTAAATCGTTTGTTGATGTTGTGTTCTTTGACATTACTTTATTGTTGTTATTGTTGTTGTTGTTGCAGATTGTTGCTCGTTGTAAGTGGTTTAAAGAGTGAAAAATTTATGGTTTACACCGAAGCTGCTGACAGTTGCATTGATAGAAATTAGCATGAATGGCCACCTCATGTGTAGACAAGAAAATGTTAATAACTATTATGAATAAATTGATAAGACTGGGAACGGGAGTGGGGTCAACCCCACAGACCTGCATGCTTGGATTCTTATAAATAATATTTATTGCGGTAACTAGATAAGACGTGGATTTTTTTAAATAATTCTTTCAAGGTATACACAACTCGGATTTTTTAAATAATTTTTTCAAGGTTTGTACAAGGAGTGGATTTTTTAAATTAATTTTTTCATTTTTTCAAGGCATGACGTGGATGTTTTAAAATTCAGCAAGGCGTAGATGTATAAAAAAATTTTTTATGCGTGGATTTTTTTAATATTTTTTTCAAGGCGTAGATTTTTTAAATATGTTTTTTTCAAGGCGTGGATTTTTTAAATATTTTTTTCAAGGCGGGGATTTTTTAAATATTTTTTTCAAGGCGTGGATTTTTTAAATATGTTTTTTTCAAGGCGTGGATTTTTTAAATATTATTTTTTTCAAGGCGTGGATTTTTTAAATATTATTTTTTTCAAGGCGTGGATTTTTTAAATATTTTTTTTCAAGGCGTGGATTTTTTAAATATGTTTTTTTCAAGGCGTGGATTTTTTAAATAATTTTTTTTTTCAAGGCGTGGATTTTTTAAATATTTTTTTTCAAGGCGTGGATTTTTTAAATATTTATTTTCAAGGCGTGGATTTTTTAAATAATTTTTTTTTCAAGGCGTGGATTTTTTAAATATTTTTTTTCAAGGCGTGGATTTTTTAAATATTTTTTTTCAAGGCGTGGATTTTTTAAATATTTTTTTTCAAGGCGTGGATTTTTTAAATATTTTTTTTCAAGGCGTGGATTTTTTAAATATTTTTTTCAAGGCGTGGATTTTTTAAATATTTTTTTTCAAGGCGTGGATTTTTTATTTTTTTTTTCAAGGCGTGGATTTTTTAATTTTTTTTTTCAAGACGTGGATTTTTTAATTTTTTTTTAAGGCGTGAATTTTTTAATTTTTTTTCAATGCGGGGATTTTTTAAATATTTTTTTTCAAGGCGTGGATTTTTTAAATATTTTTTTCAACGCGTGAATTTCTTAAATATTTTTTTTTCAATGCGTGAATTTTTTAAAAAAATTTTTTCAATGCGTGGACTTTTTAAATATTTTTTTTTCAAGGCGTGGATTTTTTAAATTTTTTTTTTTCAACGCGTGAATTTTTTAAAAATTTTTTTTCAAGGCGTGGATTTTTAAAAGCAAACATTTTCAAGAATATTTTAAGTCTCGGATCTAAAAAAAGTTTCAAGGTGTTTTTGGGCAAGGTAATAAATCTTAATTACAGCGCACTCCCCCTTAAATCAATTTCCAATTTCGACAGCCCTCTTTAATTAAATTTAAGGAAAAATTGTCACAGCATGAATTAATTGCGGATATATTTTCAAACCTAGTGCCACTTCCCCTATTTTTCTTCCTTAAAACTAAGGCATTATCGTCCCAAAAAAAAAAACTGGAAACAAACTAATGCAAGTCATATGGACTTAAACGCCACAGGATGTAATGACTTTCTTAGACAGCCATGAGGGATAAATAGATAAATTATTTACATTTCCTTAAGAGTCCCCCAACCCTCCCCACATCCTCAACACACACAACTTAGCATAACCTTAAGGTCGGACAGTTTGCCTAAATATGACTAAGGAAAACTGAAGATCCTTTGATGTATGTGAATGTGAGCGAGTGTGTGTGTGTATAATAACATCCTAACATGCAACACACAACAGCAACAACAACAACAAGTATTTGAAAGTATTCAACAAAATTTTATCCAATTAAGAGGCCAGACGACATTCCACTCCATATTCCATACCATACCATTCCATAAGACATCCAGATAAATGGATGGATGTGCATTAGTACAATAGCAAGAACAACAACAATAACTACATCTGCAGCAGCAACAAATACAAGTAATAGACTCTAAGTATGTCTGAAAATTGTAACTTCTACGTGCCTGCAGTACTAAACAGGAAATACAAAGGATACAAAATGCAAAATTGAGGTGGTGATGGAGAATGGGATCTGTTAAATTATCAAATCGATGAAAAATGAATTGATGTTAATTCACATTTAAATATTATTAATTCGAAGGTTATACCTTTGAAAAAAAATTATTTAAAAAATCCACGCCTTGTATAACCTTTGAAAACAAAAAATATTTAAAAAACCAGTAAGGAAAGTAGTAAAGTCGGACTGGGCCGACTATATGATACCCTTCACCACTTTGGATACCTACAAGAGATGCTAATCTTTAGAGGACCATTGAAATGAAATCGGGCGGAACTAAATGTGTGATCTACATAGATTTATGAAACAATTAAGAAACCCATACCATTCTGAAATCTATGAAAAATTTGCATGTCAACCGGATTCTTTGGTGTATCATTTGCATGAAATCGAGACAAAAAATGTATGTGGAGCTGTATGTGAATGTGCACCTAATTAAGCAACCGTGGCGTATAACATTTGGTATGCTGCAGCGCATTGCGCTGTCCACAATTTTATCTCGTGTATACAGAACAGACGTAGACTCCTCGGTGCACCAATTACATAAAATCAGACGAAAATATACATGGGTGATATATGTAAATCTAAATCGATTTCTGCACCTTTAATCTAAATCACTCTAAACTCACTTCTGGTAAATCGAATAAACATAGGCCCTTCGGTGCACCTTTTATATAAAATCGGGATGGAAGCTAGTCTGCATCTGCACATTATTCTAGACTCAATCAAATACGCTATGCCAAATTTCATGCAAATCGAAAGATATATAGGGACTTTGGTACACCATTTACATTAAATCGGTCGAAAATATATATCGGAGCTATATCTAAATCTGAACCGATTTTCACGAAACTTAACACACATCATTCTAGACATTATTCATTACGCTGTGCCAAATTTCGTGCAAATCGAAAGATATATAGGTACTTTGATGCACCATTTACGTTAAATCGGACAAAAATATATATGGGAGCTATATCTAAATCTGAACCGATTTTCACGAAACTTAACACACGTCATTCTAGACCTTATTCATTACGCTGTGCCAAATTTCGTGCAAATCGATAGATATATAGGTACTTTGATGCACCATTTACCTTAAATCGGGCGAATATATATATGGGAGCTATATCTATGTCTGGACCGATTTTCACGAAACTTTGCACAAATCATTCTCGACCTAATTCGGTACCCTATGCCAAATTTCGTGCAAATCGAAAGATATATAGGGACTTTGGTACACCATTTACATAAAATCGGACGAAACTATATATGGGAGCTATATCTAAATCTGAGCCGATTTTCACGAAACTTAGCATACATAATTTTAGAGTTGATTCAGTACGCTATACCAAATTTCGCCCAAATCACAAGATATATAGGAACTTTGGTACACCATTTACCTTAAATAGGACAAAATTTATATGGGAGCTATATCTAAATCTGAACCAATTTTCACGAAACTTAGCATACATCATTCTAGGCTTAATTCAGTACTCTGTACTAAATTTCGTGCAAATAGAAAGATATATAGGGGCTTTGGTGCCCCATTTACCTTAAATCGGACGAAAATATATATGGGAGCTATATTTAAATCTGAGCCGTTTTTCAAGTCACAATTCAGTGCGCTGTGCCAAATTTCAGGAAAATAGTAAGATATATAGGGACTTTAGTATACCATTTACATTAAATCGAACGAAAATATATATGGGAGCTATATTAAAATCTGAATCGATTTTCAAGAAATTTTTCACACATAATTCTAGACTCAATTCAGTACGTTATACCAAATTTCGTGCAAATCGGAAGACTTTGGTACACCATTTACATTAAATTGGACGAAATTATATATGGGAGCTATATCTAAATTTGAACCGATTTTTCCCAATTTCAATAGGGTTCGTCCTTTGGCCAAATAGGCGAGCTGTGCCAAATTTCATCCAATTCGGATCATAAATGCGACCTGTACCTTGTTTGCAATTTAACATGGACAGACGGACATGCATAATTCGGCTCAGAAAGACATTCTATGCATATTCTCAAAAGGAACCATATGGAATCCTTTTGCCTGTTACAAACTTATGTACAAAAGACATAATACCCTGTACCACAGTGTAGTGAAGGGTATAATTATTTAAAAAAATCCATGCCTTGTAGTTACCTTGAAAAAAAAAATTATTTAAAAAATCCCTGCCTTGTATAACCTCTGAAAAAAATGATTAAAAAATCCAGGCCTTTTTCAGAGTCAATTTAAAAATTGTGTATAAGAATGTATAAAATATAAAAAAATGTATTGTTCTCCCCGACGGGGAATTGAACCCCGGTCTCCCGCGTGACAGGCGGGGATACTAACCACTATACTATCGAGGATGTTGTAAGACGGTTGCTTAAAATTACATTTAAATATAGACCAATTATAGACCAATATCAATTCTTGTATACAAAAGTAACCGTTTGTTTTTTTGCAACAGTTGTGTGTAATAGCAATGTTCCGGTACATTTTTGCATCAAAGTTCTTTTCATTATTTTTTACTACTGTTTACCCTTTTAAAATTATTTTTAGTCAGCATTTTAGACCAGTCACTCACTACGTGTTGATAACCAAATCGTCTTGTTTGTGACTTGACAACATATGCTATGTTCCAGAACTGGAAAGTACATTTTGAAAAAACATTTTTTTTAAATCCACACCTTTTAAATCTTAAAAAAATATTTTTTAATAATTCAAAACCTATAAATCTTGAAAAAATATTTTTTAAAAAGTCGACGTTTGGTAATTAACAAAAAATATTTTTAATAAAGAATCCACGCCTTGGAAAAAATATTTGTTAAAAATCCACACCTTATAAATTTAAGAAAAAAAATATACTTTTTTAAATACACGCTTTATAAATCTTAAAAAATATTTTTAAAAATTCCACACCTCATACATCTTGAAAAAAAAATATTTTTTTAAATTTCACATTGATTTTTTTTCCAAAAATCCACTGCTTCTAGTTTACCTCTCTAATACGGTAACACATCGTATGTCTTCAATTCATATCTGAGAACAAATCCGTACAATTTTTAGTACCCTTTGTTTAAAGCCTTTGATTTTGTCCATCTCCGATTTACCGGCATTTTTTGAGTGTTTTTGTATTGCACGCCAATTCCTCAATTCCTTGTCAGTCACTTCGGAAAGCTCTGCGAAAAAAGATGGCCAGTGGAGAACAACCAGCTGATGAGCGTAACATTGAAATAAAAGCACGCGTTGGTTCTGATGAAGAATTTACGCGTCGTGTTGAAATTGCCCGAAAATTAACGGAATCCGAAGGTGAAACAATTGTTCAACGTGATGTCTTCTTTAATTCACAAAGTGGTCGCCTTAAGCTGCGTTATTTACAACCTCCGGCCAAATCTCAATTAGTTTACTATGATCGCCCGGATGTGACTGGTCCAAAATTATCAAGATTTAATAAAATCGAAGTAGATGAACCTGAAGTTTTGGAGAAAATCCTAACATTGAGTAATGGCGCCAAGGGTATAGTGGCCAAAACCAGATATTTGTTTATGTACGGTCGAACCCGCATCCATTTGGATAAAGTTGAGAAATTGGGAAATTTTATGGAATTTGAGGTATGCCTTTTGCCGGAGCAGACGATCGAAGAGGGTCAGGCGGTGGCCGATAAGCTAATCAAGGAATTTGGTATACAGGAAGCTGATCTGATGACTGGTGCATATTTTGATGAATTGAAATCCTAAAGGAAGGTGGAGGGGTAATTTGAAATATTTTTTATGGTGAATCCGATTTTTTTATTTTGTTTATATTCCGAAATAAAAGTTGTGGCGTCTCTTTTTTGTTTGTTTATTCGTTAAAAGCTTCGATGTGTTTTTGTTGCAGTTGTATTGGTCTTTCGTAATTGGTATTATTTATTTCCGCACTTGGTTGTCACAATCCTCGATAGTATAGTGGTTAGTATCCCCGCCTGTCACGCGGGAGACCGGGGTTCAATTCCCCGTCGGGGAGAATCAGACTTTTTTGGTTTTTTTTTTAGAAAATATTTTTTAAGAACTTTATTTAAATCAAGTAAGGAAAGTAGTAAAGTCGAACTGGGCCGACTATATGTTACCCTTCACCACTTTAGGTATATTCATCAGATGGAATCCTAATAGACGTCGCATTTTTGAAGGACCATAAACATGAAATTAAACATTTCATTCTGCAACCTATACTAAATTTTGGTCAGATATAGAGTTGCTTCTGACAATGGAACAATATTATGTAAATAAAATTAAAGCAAAATATCGAAATCTAAACCGATTTCTATTTATTAAATTAATTTAACACATATCGTTCTAGACTTAATTCAGTACTCTGTGCCAAATTTCGTACAAATCGAATGATATATAGGGACTTTGGTGCACCAATTACCTAAAATCGGACGAAAATATATATGGGAGCTATATCGAAATCTGAACCGATTTTCACAAAACATAGCACACATCGTTCTAGACTTAATTCAGTACTCTGTGCCAAATTTCGTACAAATCGAATGATATATAGGGACGTTGGTGCACCAATTACCTAAAATCGGACGAAAATATATATGGGAGCTATATCGAAATCTGAACCGATTTTCACGAAACTTAGCACACATCGTTCCAGACTTAATTCAGTACGCTGTTCCAAATTTCGTGCAAATCGAAGAATATGTAGGGTCTTTGGTGCGCCAATTACCTAAAATCGGACGAAAATATATATGGGAGCTATATCGAAATCTGAACCGATTTTCACGAAACTTAACACACATCGTACCAGACTTAATTCAGTACGCTGTGCCAAATTTCGTGCAAATCGAAGGATATATAGAGACTTTGGTGCACTATCTACCTAAAATCGGACGAAAATATATATGGAAGCTATATCTAAATCTTATTTTCTTATTAACTTATTTTCACGAAACTTAGCACACGTCGTTCTAGAATTAATTCAGTACACTGTGCCCATTTTGGTGCAAATCGTAGAATATATAGAGACTTTGGTGCATTATTTACCTAAAATCGGACGAACATATATATGGGAGCTATAGGGTTCGTCCGTGGGCCAAATAAATGAACTGTGCCAAATTTCATCCAATTCGGATTATAAATGCGACCTGTACTTTGTTGACAATTTAACATCGGCAGGCAGCCAGACGGACGGACGGACATGCATAAATCGACTCAGAAAGTGATTCTATGCAAATCCTCCATGTGTCTATCTCGTTTCCTTTCGCCTGTTACAGACATATACACCAAGACATAATACCCTGTAACACAGTATGATGAAGGGCATAAAAAATTAACAAGATGCGGATTTTTAAAAATAAATATATATATATTTTTAAGAATTGACAAGGAGTGTTTTTTTAATATACGGTGGAAATTCTCCCTTTTACAATCCGCTTAGAACTTGTTTTGTAGAACTAACTTGAGAGTGAACATTCACTTTGAAATGATGTCAAGGTAAATTCAAAAAGTTCAAAAAGACAATTCACGGGGAACTGACTTCAAGAAGATGACAGTTTAAGTTATTGTTGTCATATTAAAAAATCGACAATGTTTTTAATCCACATACAATAACATTAATCCCTGATATACACTGAGAAAAAAAGAGTATAACATTCTTACCTTTTGAAAATTACAAATTAAACACATTTTCAATTTTTTATTTTAAATCTTTATTTATATCCAAAGAAAATGCCAAAAGTTGGTATGCGTGTTTTTTACAAATTAATTTAGAAAATAATAAAAAATACAATTTTTACAGTAATTTTAGAATATAATGAAACATAACAAATTTAAATTTGAAAAACTATTTTTAATATACAAAAATATTTGACTATGGGAAAAATTTTGAATTTTGACAAAAAGGAATGGTTAACATAACATAAAAAATAAACTTACTAATTAATAAAAATGCAAGAAATATTTTGAAATCTTCTAGTTGAAAAAAAAATAAAAATTTATATTTGATTGGATTGTATTTTATTCAACCTTCCAATTTCAAAATAAATCCTACATTTTTATTTATAAATATAAATCTGAATTTCTGATGTTGGTTTGTTTTGTTTAGTTTGAGTTTAGGTTTTAGTTTTGGTTTTGGCGTTTTAATTTTTTTGGCTAATGCGGTTATTACGATAATCCATTTCTTGTATCACCTGAGAATGGCGATGTGAAAATAAACATGAAACTAAATGCCATTTACAACAGTGGCGCATTTAGCTCCAAAAATAAACATAACTCATTTTGTGAAATGTCAAAAAAAGACAGCTGATTATGACATTTCTTCTGGCATGAGTTTGAATGGTTTATGGCCTCGTTTTGCGGGGCGGATGGAAAAAAAGTATATACATCGCTCATTTGTAAGTGACTACAAGAAATGGTTTATCATAACCTTTGGGGGTCTAAGTCCATCAAAAAGACTCCAAACAATTTGGTGTTACTTAACCCCCCAGCCTAGTTTTTGTTATTTATGTTTAATGTTAGGCATTTTGTTTTTGTAGGCGTAACTTGACCCAAAGATGTTTTAAAGGGATTTTTCAATTGGTGTTTTTTTTTTTCAGAGGTAAGCTGCATGTTTTTGGTTTGGTGGCTAAATTTTGATTGGGGAAAAATAGAAATTGGATGTTAACTGCGGAATACAAAATATCCAGTGATTTACATTTGGGCTAATATTAGTTGTTACAATTATTAGTTTGCTGTTGTTGCAAAGAGGTGACAAAGGGTTGCCTCACCTCTTTACAACAACATCAAACTATATTGATTGTAACACATAAAATTACCCAGTGTAAATCTAGGACAATATTTCATTTGACGGAAAATCCTGAGTTTCCCGAGGCAAAGAAGGTGAACATATTGCCGAAGGTTATGTCAGGTTATGTTATCAATGTTTAATCTGCTGTCATTTTTTGACACAGCTCATATGATAAACATTGATGGTACAGCCTGACATATCCCTTGCAATCACCTTTCTTAAACCCTGGCTCAGTTTTCTGACAATTAAAACTTTTCATATCCGACAGATAACAAATTTAAATTATGGGTTATTCACTATGAATTGATAGCCAAATTTTGTTATATCTGGCACATGGTATTTTATGAAATTTAGCTTTAAAAAACATCTCATTATTCTTGTTATTTCTGAGTGTAAAAGTGAAAGAGAGAGAGGAAGAGGAAAAGAGAAAATTCTCCTCTCCCCTTCTTCGTCTTCTTCCAAAAATACAAACAAAAATCTTGGACTTATTAAATGCTTATATAAAATGCTAATTTCACATAATGCCAATTAGAATGTTATTCACTGTAAATTGATAGCAAATAGTGGGATGTTAACAGTAAAGCCAGCTGACATTGTCATCAGATTAATCAAAACAAAATTTCATTAGACTTATGATTTCTGAGAGTAAAAGAGTTAGAAGGAGAGAACGAAAAACGGTCATATAGAAAAATACGAGAGTTTTTTTTTCTCTCTTTCACATCAAAAACAAACAAAAATCTAAGACTTGGAAAATATAATTAAAAATTAACTTCAAATGATGTTAAACAAAATGTTGCCATGGATAAATAGAAAATACTGAAAATTTGGAAGACAAACCAAAACAAATCATGCTTGTTGACCTTTAAAATAGACACCGAAATTCCAATAAAAAATTATTTATTTTTTTAATGAAAACATCTATAGGAAGTTGTTCCTAAGTATGTATGAGATTGCATTTTTTTGAGAGAGACAGTTCATGTGTGCTTCTCCCGCTATCCTGACATTCATTGAGCCAGATCAGCTGATTAAGTTGAACAGCTGTTGAACAGTTTAATGAAAACATCTATAGGAAGTTGTTCCTAAGTAGGTATGAGATTGAATTTTTTTGAGAGAGAGAGAGTTCATGTGTGCTTCTCCCGCTATCCTGACATTCATTGAGCCAGATCAGCTGATTAAGTTGAACAGCTGATTGTATTTTGAAAAATATCAAAATGGATGCCATTTTTATGGAAGCCATTTTGGGATAAAGTTTAAGAAGATAAACATTCCCAAATCCCAATTGACTTGAAGAATATTTAAAATATTCTTGTTTTGATATTTGGATATGTGACAATTAGGGCCACAAATATAGTATTTAAAATTACAAATTGTGTGTGTGGAAGATTTTTTGCAGTTTTTTCAGAAGATTTTTTTAGTTTCAAAACTGCCGAGTTGAATTCCCCCCATGGAGGATTTATTTGTTATTTAGGGATTTACTAAATCCGCTACAATGTATTGGGTTAATTTCATATCACTTTAGATTTGTATTTTTCGTAGAAAATTATGGAAAATTGAATGACAAATTGTCATTGTCCATTTCAATTGTAATAGAAAAAAAATCAAAGGCATCGAAGGACCAAAGGTGATTACTTCGTTTACATTTTGACCTGCAATTGATTAATTTAAAATAGTTTGGAGAACAGTGTTGAATATGTTAAGGTGCTTACAGATAAATCGCGTTTAGACTAAGAAATCCACTCGTTTTCAAATGCCAATTCCATAACGTATACGTCAAGTAATATTATTTGACATATACGTTATGGAATTGATATTTGAGAGCGGGTGTATTTCATTTAAACTAAACGTACTTTTATTGAATACAGTTATAATGTTAAAATATTCAATTTTTTTAGATATTTTGACTTCTATAAATCGAGTTTTTTTACTGATTATAATTTTTATAAGCTATACAAAATATTATAATATTTTTTATTATAAATATTTTTTTAAATTTCCAAAAAGTTTTTTTTTTGTTGATAAAAAAATATTTAAGATTTTTTTCAATTATATAACTTACATTTTTCAATCATTTTTTTAATTTTATATTTTTTTTAAATTTAATTTTCACTTCTTACAATTCGATCTTTACCTGACACCTCCTTTTGCTGATATTTCGCCTGCTGTTGCTGCTCTCCCGGACGTTTCTGTTGACGGCGATGGCAATCCTCCGCCACATGTCCACGATAGTTACAAAAACTACAACGCTTTGGTTTTATTTTTTCTCCTCCCCCGCCACCTCCTTCAGCATACATTTCATCAATTTCCCGTCCCCTTTTTAAAAGATCCTGAAATGTGGAAATATCTCCTCGACGCATATACTGACGATATTTGAAATGTATTTGACTATAAATCATATCGATTTGTACCGACTCCGAGTGTTGACCTTCGGGCAGTTGCGAAAACAGTGCACGCTTTCGGATAATAAATAAATTCAATCCCGTACTGCTATCCTGTTTTTCGGCAAAAAGTTCCTTATAGATTTGATATGGTGGCTTTGTCGGCGCAAAATGCTCTTTGATTAACTTGAGGCACTGCGACCAAGTTGTAACCTCTTTGCGTATGCCCTGCCACCATAAAGATGCGGTGCCGGTAAACAATAGGGACACACCCATTAGGGCTTCGTCATCGGTTATTTGTTCCAATGTTTTATATGTTTCCACAGCATTTAGGAATTCTTCGACCGCCTCTTGATGCTGTTGTCCAGAGAAACGTACCTTACATGCAGCCATGGTGTTCCTTGGCGGCTGTTGTTGTTGTGGAAGCTCTGATGTTTGGGCTGCGGTGACAGTTGTTGCAGGGGTATTATTCGGGATCGTCGACCCCTTTGTCGTGGAAACATTCCTTGAAGGTTGTTGTTCCTGTTGCAACATTTCAGTGATGTCCAAGGCAGGATCACGGAATTTGCCAAATATTATTTCGACAACTTAAACACACAACTCCACACACAATAATCGCACACATTCACTGGTCGTTCACAGACTGAAAATTATTGGAATAATTTTTGTGGTATTTATACAACAAGCCAGCTTGATAAATTCCATAAAAATAGTGTGGTCATATAGAGCGCTCTCTTTTTTGGGAAATAAGTAAGCAGCTATGCGTTCATTTTTTTAAGAAAAATTGAGCATTAAGCTTGCTCGGTACGAACTTGATATACCCTCCAAGATATTACAGTAATAATTCAAAAAGAAAAATTACAAATTCCTTTTTTTGGATTTTTTAAAATATTTTTTCAACACCCAAAAAACAAGGCGTGGATTTTGAAATAATATTTTTCAACATCTAAAACAACATTTTTAAAATCCACGCCTTGAAAAAATATTTTTTAGAAAATCCACGCCTTGAAAAAATATTTTTTTAGAAAATCCACGCCTTGAAAAAATATTTTTTTTAGAAAATCCACGCCTTAAAAATTTATTTTTTTTAGAAAATCCACGCCTTGAAAAATATTTTTTTAGAAAATCCACACCTTCATTTCTTTAATCTACATATTAAAAAAATATTTTTCTTAAGTTCACGGCTTACAAAAAAATATTTTCTTTAAACATTTTATCTTAATTTTTTTTTTCAAAAAATGTATGCTTTGAGAAACATAATGTTGAAAAAATGATCTCCTATTTAGAAAAACCATGCCTTGAAAAAAATCACCGTTTGTATTGAATGTTCATGAAGTGTATACAATGTTCGTACTGATTGTGCCCTGTTTTTTTAATGTTGGGCGCCAATCTCTCATTCATTTCTACTACGCAATTCCCTAAAAGTTTATGTATGGAACAAAAAATCGAGGGGACTCAAACCGTTATGAATTCTCACGAAGTATAAACAAATTCATAAGTAGAATGTGGCACACAAGGTATCGAATAACTTATTGATTCTTCCTTTTTTAATTTCTAGAATTCAATATTTTTTAAATGCTGGCATATCCCAAAGTGAGAAGTACCATTAGCCAAACAAAAAATTTCAATATTTATATATATATATATATATATATATATGTGTGTGTGTTATGATGTGTTTAAATATTACTGTCTCAAGCGCCCTCCCATTAGACGTGCTTACTACAAAAAAAATATTTTTTTTTGTTATTTCCTTTGTTGGATTTTTATTGTGGCTGTTTTTGTTATTTTTATAACACAGTGATTCATTTACACTGGTTTGTAGACGAAGATGATGATATTCACAACAATTATTTTATGTTTAATTTCTTTTGCTTAGCCAGAAAAAAAAACTCTTCACATGGGAGGGTCTGCAACACTCCATTGGTTTAAATTTCGCCAAATTTAAAAACTTTTTCCATTAGACCCCTTTTGTTTACGTAGGCTTTCATATCCAAACCATGTCAAGTTACGCCACCCCCACTGTTTATTGCCGGCAAAAAGGTTCTCCTTGTTTTTCATAACCATTGGATGATCCTTGTTTACATGGAAGCCGTTATCCACTTCCTTTGGTTTATAACCATTTTTATATTTCAATAATGCAGCCATTTGGGCCATTTCAGCCATACCAGCCATTGTAATAATGTTTATAATTTCAATGTGTTAAATCAACTGATGCACCAACCGATCGATGTGAATCATTTAATGGCTGGTTTTTATTTCGCTTTAATTTAAAAAATATTCAGGGAAATTACCCATACATAGTCCTATTGCAATCGTTGTAAAACGTGACAACGGGAACGAACCAGATTAAATGAAAGAATTTCGCATAAAAAACGATTATTCATAGATTTGTTTTTATTACAAACAGATATGACAGGGTATATATCCTCGAAGAGAAATTATCTTATCAGAATTTCATAATTTTACGTTTCAAATACAGGCCTCTTGAAGTCATATTATTATTATTATTTTTGTTTCAGCGCCTAAAAGTATGCTTTAAATTTTTTGTTACATTTTCATTCGTTAACAATTAGCTCACCAATTGCTTGCTATAGAAAAAATTGGCACACGAAAAATTTTAAGAGATCTTAGCAAAGGCGTGAAGGTCTTTGCCAAGACGTGTGTTTTTTAAAAATATTTTTGGATTTTTTCTAAAAAAATACATTTTTTTTAATAGGTCTGGAAGTCCCATCCTGAAAATATATATTTTTTTAAATAGGTCCTGCAACTGATTGTATAGCACACAAACGATCTGTAGAACCCTATTAACTGTGAACAAACGAATTATGAATCCAATTTTAATTAATTATTGCCCATTTTGTTTTGAGTCTTCATTTTTACCACCCTTTTTCCATATATTTTAATTTTATGCTATACGTGTTATCATTTCACAGTGAATATCATGCCATATTGGTGAAGCAAGAAGAAGAATCCCACTGGCATACCATTATGCGTGAGTGCCAAACCCGAAGAAGAAGCAGCATTGACAGTCACTCAACGCAAGCTACACAATCAGGAGTTTATGCATTAGAAAATAAAATAAAAATATAAAATAATTTACCGGAAAATTCAATATTTAAACAAAAGAAAAATATATTTAAATACCACCCTAAGACAGCAATCCAACAAACACAAGCAATACGAAGGAAAAAATAACTTCAATTAAATCACCTCAAGGAAATGACCACAAGCAGTGAGGATGTGTTGCTACAAATGGGTGAGGTACGTTATAAGAAAGGCGATGGTACGCTCTATGTTATGAATGAACGTCTGGCCTGGATGGCGGAAAATCGTGACACTGTTGCCGTGTCCCATCGTTTTGCCGATATTAAAAGTAAGTTATATCATCTGGGTAACCACCCAGGATCAATCATGATTCAAGATTTATTCTTTGTGTTATTTATTTTTGTATAGCTCAAAAAATCTCACCGGAAGGCAAACCCAAAGTCCAGCTCCAGGTTGTTCTACACGATGGCAATACATCAACATTCCATTTTGTCAATCGTAATGGTCAACAGGCTATGTTGGCCGATCGTGATAAAGTCAAAGAACTGCTACAACAATTACTGCCAAATTTCAAGCGTAAAGTCGACAAGGAATTGGAGGAGAAAAATCGTATATTATCGGAAAATCCACATTTATTTCAATTATATAAAGATTTGGTTATGACCCAGGTTCTGACCAGTGATGAATTTTGGAACACACATGCAAAGGAGCACGCCCTAAAGAAAACCAATAAGAAACAGAGTATAGGTAAGTGATTGCGGAGAGATAAAATGAAAGGAAGGGGAGAGAAAAAGAAAGGAATGACAGATACAAGAATGAAACCCGTCCCTTCTGTAGAGCCTATATAATATTTGCCTATATATACTACATTCGGAATCTGCCATAGACCATGTTCAAGAATTTCTTCAACTAGTCTCGGAAATGCGCTTCTAATCAACCATCCGACAATTGCCTATAATTCCATTTATGAATATCATATCTAGATGGCATATCCGAAATCTCGTCATAGCCATCTCAAAATTCCTGTTATATGCTAGACTAAAGTGACCACAATCTGGTCTATAAGGGCCCCTTGTGCTACAGATCTCCTAAAAACTCCTGCATTTCAGATTGTCTATAGCGGAATCACGACAGCGAGTCTACATGCCCATATATTACAGACTCTTTTTAAACATAGCTGTAGAAGACTCGCTTCTTCAGCTCGTCTATGGAAGACTACCTTCAGATTGTTTATAGAAAACTCTTAAATTCGGCTATAGACGAATCCCTGCGGCTCAACGAGAGAAGGCTCCCATCAGCTCGTCTATAAAATTTCCCTTCAGTTTGTCTGAAAATACTCTCTTTAAGTTGTCTATAGAAGGCTCCCTTTAAGCCGTCTATAGAAGACTCCCTTCAGCTCGTTTATAAAGACTCCCATTAGGTCTATAAATACTCCCTTTAGTTCGCCTATAGAAGACCACCTTCAACTCGTCTATAAAGACTTCTTTCAGCCCGTCTATAAAGACTCCTTTCAGGTCGTCTACATAGACACCCTTTCGGTCGTCTATAATGACTCCCTTTCGGTCGTCTATAATGACTCCCTTTCGGTCGTCTATAAAGACTCCCTTCAGCTCGTCTATGAAGACCATCTTATATTTTGTTCATTACGACCCCTTCAGCTAGTCTATTAAGACTCCGTATAGCTCCTTTTTAAATCCCTCTTTCAAACCCATCTATAGACAAATCTTTGATTTTCATCTATAAAACACAATCTCCCACACATATTTAATAATTCTCTTTTTTCTTCCCAAACAGGTGTATCGGGTGCCTTTCTTGCCGATATAAAACCCCAAACCGATGGTTGTAATGGTCTCAAATATAACCTGACCGATGACATTATCCATTGTATATTTAAAACATATCCCGCCGTTAAACGTAAACATCAAGAAAATGTACCTGCCAAAATGAGTGAAGCTGAATTCTGGACGAAATTCTTCCAATCACATTATTTTCATCGTGATCGTATTACGGCCGGCACCAAAGATATATTTGCCGAATGTGGTAAAATCGATGATCAGGCATTGAAGGCTGCTGTGCAGCAAGGTGCCGGCGATCCTCTGCTAGATCTTAAACAATTTGAAGATGTGCCATTGGAGGAGGGTTTCTGTAGTGTCTCAGGTGATCGTAACAATGTGAATAGTGGAAATATTGTACATCAAAATATGATAAAACGATTCAATCAACATTCAATAATGGTGTTGAAAACGTGTACAGATGTAACGGGTGGCGCCGCGGGGACGGGCCCGTTAAATAATCAAAGTAATGATAAAACGACAGAGAATGGCAGTGCCGAGAAGAAGCAAAAAGAAAATACAACAAATGGTGGCAATGGGGTGCCGCCTGCCTCAGGAAGTCCAGAAAAACCTGCCAAAAGACAACGAATTACAGAGAAAATTATCTATGAAGATTTGGGGGAACCATTGCTGGTGCCCGAGGCCAATAGTGCTGAGGCTAAGGCAAGATCACAACAAATAAATCTCTGTAAAGTTGAACGTTACTTACATGGACCCATGCCAAGTGCCAATTTTGATACGCATGAAGATCCACGGCGCATGGAAGAGATACAATATCATTTGTTATGCTCCACAGAGAATTGGAATCAACGAGTACCTCATAAAGTTTTAGTTAGTTCAACGGCAGCTGTTAATGCACTGGGTGAGCTTAGTCCGGGTGGTGCGCTTATGCGTGGCTTTCAAGAGCAGTCTGTATCACGTAAGCAAATTGGAAATCACTATTTACAAAATTTTTATATTAATATAGGTTTTTTGTTTTTACAGAACTTGTACCACCGGATTTTGAAAAAGATTTAAGAAATCTTTATCTAGCTTTGTCGGAATTGTTAAAACATTTCTGGCATTGTTTTCCACCCACCACTCAGGAATTAGAGGCTAAGGCTGTGAGAATGCATGAGGCACTGCAACGATTCAAAATGGCCAAACTGCAGCCTTTTGAGGTTAGGAAAAATTATATGAAAATTTAAATATTAACGAAATCGTTTATAACGACCGTCAATGGACAGGTGAAATTATGACGGTCTATTTCGCCTGTCCATAGTCAATAAGAAAAAAGAGCAGAAAAAGAGTGTGTCGTCTTTCGTTATACGTGATTTCGTTTGTGAATGTAATCATAATTTAAATTATATTGTGTCTGTAATATAATTTATTACCGTTTTTCTCTTTTGTTTTTTTCAGGATCGTTGCCAACAAAAATTATCACCCTTGGGCGGCACACTGACACAGCATTTAAACCGTCTACTCCAATCGGCCAATACAAAATTTGTAACATGGCAGGAACGTAAAATGCGCCAACATAAATAGTTTTTTGTTATATTTAATTTATTTTTACAAATGAAAAAGAAAATTTTGTGAAATTCCTATTAGATTGTCCTATACATGAACATACAATGTCATTTTTTTAATTCTGTATCCTTTTCATGGTTTCATTTGTTGAAAAATGTTGACCAAACAAAAGAACAATAAATTGTTTGTCCTGCCAAAAATAAGAGAAGGCACATTGAAAAACAAAGTTTACTTAAGCTGAAAATAGGAACTAAAATAACTCCAAAACTGTCCAAGATTTGCTCAGCCAACGAGACATAGCCCGAGATTTCACTCAGTCCATTTTGAGTCATTTCATGGATATACCTAAAAAGTACAAGCGATATTTTACAAAACTAATGCACCTCATATTTTGTCAAATCACTGGAATATTTTTTACAATAATAGTTTTGTTGTGATTTTCTTTTATTAATTTGTTATTATATCTATGTAGTACCATAGAGTGTAGAAGTATGAATATGTAAACCCTCTGGGAAACACCCTTTTAAAACACCCAAATTTTCTTTTTCCCGAAAATGCATCAACACCTGTGAAGATGGTAGCTTATTTATTTTTACATTTTATTATTGTTGACATAATTTATTAACACATTTCCGATTTATTCTACCACACAATTTTAAGAGGTTCTAATTAATTCGGCACACTTAACTTTTATTGGATTTATAGCTATTAAATATGGCCCAGTAAAGATGAATTTCTCACTTTTATATTTTTGTTTCTGGAACAAGGGCAAAAATAAGACACGAGCCAAATTTAATTATCATTAAAAAGTGGGCCATTGTATAAAGAACGATATTTTGATGGACTACAATGGACATATTTCAGGCTTCTTTCCCTTAAGGAAAACAATAAAAAAATTAAAGTCTTCTTTTTTGGGTGGCCATATCTACGCAGTAAATTTTGTCTATAAATACTCCTTTCATGGTGTCCATAAGAAATTCCCTAAATTTATCTACAAAGACCATTTGAAATCGTCTGCCAAAAATTCTCGTCCATAAAGATTTCATTCCAGTCGCCTTCCCTAAAAACTACTCCTAGTCGTACCCAAAATTTTCTGCCAAAATGAGTGATTCTGAATTCTGCAAGAAATTCTTAAAGTCATCTTATTTCCATCGTGACCGCAGGTGGAGGCACATACGATTTTTTTGGCGAGTGTGGTGGTGGTTTTTAGGTATCTATACAGACACCTTTCAGGTTGTCTATAAAGACTCCTTTTAGGTCGTCTATAAAGACTCTTTTCAGGTCGCCTATAAAGACTCTTTTCAGGTCGTCTATAAAGACTCCTTTCAGGTCATCAATAAAAACTCCTTTTAGGTCGTCTATAAAGACTCCTTTCAGGTCGTCTATAAAAACTCATTTCAGGTCGTCTATAAAGACTCCTTTCAGGTCGTATATAACAACTCCTTTCAGGTCGTGTATAACAACTCCTTTCAGGACGTCTATAAAGACTCCTTTCATGTCGTATATATGGCCTCCTTTCTCGTCTTGTATAAAGACTCCTTTCAAGTCGTCTATAAAGGCTCCCTTCAGGTCGTCTATAAAGACTCTTTTCAGGTCGTGTAAATAGACTCCCTTCAGTTCGTCTAAAGAGACTTCTTTCAGATCTTCTGTAAAGAGTCTTTCAGGTCGAATTATTTTCATTAAATAATCCTTTTTAATTATATCCAGTCGACATGAAGAACAGATTTCTAGAACATTTTATTTTAGGTTGTCAGGACAGATTTTTTCAAAACATTTTCTCCGAATCCCTTTCAGTTGTGTTGTTATTTGTTTCGGCAGCGACGATGAACTAAATGTGTTAAAAATTCATCCGATTTTATGATTTTAAAATTGGATCAAAACGTTTAAATGAAATTAGATTTTATCAGGTTCGGAATTAGATGTGTAAATTGACGATGACGATAAAATATTACAACAACAAAAAGAGTTAAATTTCATTTTTATTTTCTAGGAAGCTGGGTGACCCAGAATTTTTAATATAACACGTTAGAAAGTAATTCAAAGCGAAATATTATATATATATAAATTATAGAGCATGAAAAAACACAAACTCCGAAAAAAGTTTGGGTACGTTTTTGATCCGAATTGGCTGTAATTTGATATTTTGGATTCTCATCGAGTAGAAAATCACCACACCAAAAAATATTAATATTGGGCCAAGTTTCAGGGTAGGCCCATATGAGACGATTACGTATTTGATGCGGTTTGGCACCGATTTTTTAATCGAATTGTCTTTAATTTGATATTTTGGATTTGCATTGGGTAGTAAATTTTTTTCCTACCCCAAATTAAGGATATGGGTTTAAGTTTCAAGGTATCCCCCATATAAAGGTATAACCCAAAGTTCGGTATCTTGGGAGTTGGCTCCATATAACGGTACCTCCCGAATTGCGGTATTTTGGGCAGTTTGGGCATATTTTAAACTGAATTGTCTCTAATTTGATATTTTGGGGATTATTGGGGATAAAATCCCCTTAACAAAAATTATGAATATTGGTTCTAGCTCCAGGGTAGCTCCCTTTGAATAGTACTTCCCATTATTCGGTTTTTGAGTAGTGGACCGTTTTTCAGACAAATGGACTGATATTTTGGATTCTCATTCGGTAGAAAATGCCCCTACAAACATTTATATTGGTGCAAGCTTCAGGGTAGCTGCCTTTTAATAATACCTCCCATTATTCGGTATTTGAGGGGGCTTGGGACCATTTTTCATCCATTTTGGCTATATTGGATGTTTTGGAATTTTAATAACTAAAAAATATTGACCTAAGTTTCCGTATAGCTCCTTTATAATGGTACATCCCATTATTGGGTATTTGAAGGGTTTTGGGATCGTTTTCCAAGCAAATGGGCTATAATTTCATACATTGGATTTTTATTGACAATTCTCCTTACCAAAAATTATTAAATTAAAATTGGGCCAATTTTCAGGTTAGGCCTCTGGACACAAAGGAAGGCTTCTAGGTGTATTCTAACGGTGATTTTCGAGTCTAGGCCAAACATATGAAAAAATAAGAATTTTTATTATATTTGTTTTGTGTGTAAAATATTGACACAATTAATTTACAGCACTTTCATTCATGCTCTCGCATAGCGAAGCGAACCGAAATGAAAGCAAAGCGACCGTTTTTATTTTCGAAATGTTCTAATTAAACTAATAAACATTGAGGGTATTGATCGAACTTTAAAAGTTTTAACACATTTCTACTGAAGACAAAAAAATGTGTAAAAGCGTTTAGTTTAGCTTAGTTAACGTAACAAATAAGACGCAACAGCACGGGCACGAGCTACGTACGGATAGTTGATAATCGAATAAGTTACAGAATTGAGAAAAGAGTAAAATAACTACAAAAAATATGCAATACTCGAAGTATCTGCTAATATTGGCACTTATCATAGGTGTAACAGTGCAGTACACCCAAAGTGTTTCCTTTTTTCCCTCCAACAGTGCCTATGGTGTAAGTTTGTGTAAAAAAGGTGTATCGAATATATATTTTTTAAACAAGTGCTTGTTTAGATTTTTGCCGCCCTTGCTGTCCCGCTGGATCTGCCACATCGCAATGTTTTCATTTCATATAATTTTGAGGCAAATTATAATTTACCACAAACCTGGGGTATACCACCATATGCTGTAAGTTGTACAAAATGCAAAAAAGGAAAAGAAAAATTTTGCAAATTTTGTCAGATGACAATAGTAAGGTGTTAATTTTCGTTCTTCTTTGCCCTCGCCCTTAGACCGGTATTGAAGATGAAGATTTGTTCGAGGTAGAAGGCAGATTGAATAGTGGCAAAGCGTGCAACACTAATTGTACCACGACGTCTGCAGAAACGACGGCGGGTGATGAAGATGGAGAGGAGACGGAGGGTAATACTAGTGCAGAAGATTTGTCCACAGAATCACCATCAACTAATGCGACCGAAACAGAAAGCCGCCGTCGTCGTCGCCGCAGAAGAAGATCAATGTCATCGTTGTTAACACGCACCCATTTCTATAGGATACTTATTGATAAGTTTGAGAGGTAAGTTGAGATTTTGGAGAACAAATTTGATAAAAAATTAAAACATGCTAGCAACAAGTAAATTATATATTCTTTTAATATTTACTAATTTTGGCTACATAATTTAAAAACACTCACCACGGTTTTCCAACAGCGATTTCCAATAAAAATCCAACCTTATGAGAATCTCTTTCTGTTTAATATTTGATTTTTGATTTTTCATTTGAATTTTTTTACACAGTTTTATTATTTATTTATTTTTCAAATTTAACTGAAACTCTTTCTTAATGTTAAATAACATTGCGAAAGTTCTCTGTTAAATGACACACATTTACCGACCAGCAGGGAACACAACCATGATTAGGCGACATAAGCAACAACACAACCTTGCCAACGAACAAGCACATTCATGACATGTTAAAAAATGAACCAAAATTGGTTGGTAAATTTAAAACGAAAGCACTTGTATTTTTAGTACCGGGTTTTTTGTAATTATTTCAATTATGATACTTACTTTTACTCTAGTTTAATACGACATATTTAAACTTTTCCAATAAGAAGTAAAATTTCGCGACCGATACGCCATTTAATACGATTGACAACTGAAGGAAGACACAGCATACATTAGATATTTTCTTTCTCAGTAAAAAAGACAACAACAATTCATGCTTATGGCTAAGTAAACATGAAACACAATCCATTCTTGAACTTGAAACGAAAAACTCTTGTTTTTAGCTGCCGCGTCATTAGTAATTAATTAAATAATTATTGTCACCTTTTCTATAATTTTTACCACATATATCCTTTATTTTAACGATAATACACCTTAATTTTCTGTTAACAAACAAAATTCGCCACCGACCGCCATTTAAATTTATTGACAACTGAAGGAAGAGACAAGTAAACGTGACTCTGTTGTCGCCATCTAGAAAATGTTCTCTCTCTCTCTGTGTAAAACACAAACAATCATAAGCAAAAGAACACTAACAACTACTACTCTTGGCAAGTAAATATATCACATTTTTTTGCGAATTTTAAACGCAAAACACTTGTTTTTAACTGCCGTGTAGTTATTAATTAATTCAATTGCCATTATTTTCACTTTTTCTATAATTATTTACGGTATTAATCGTTTATATCTTCTATGTAATTTAATTTTCTATTAACGATAAAAAATTCGCGACCATCCGCCATTTAAAATAAATGACAACTGAAGGAGAGACCATGAAGTGACAAATGTCAGTAACAGTGTTGTTAACATTCAGCCAAATTTACGCTTTTTATTTACGATCATTAATCGTAATCGATCAATTTTAATCGTAAATAAGAATTGAAAGGATGAAAACAACAATTTAGTGCGAATTTAAAAAAAATTGGTTCATTAATAAATAGGGGATATTAAATTATTTATTAATGAAAAAAAAATTAAATTAGCCTTACATTTCGCTATTGACAATAAAATAAGAGCAAAAACAGAAACAGTCAAAAACTCTAAAATTTAGAACAAATGCATCTACGGACAGGCAAAAGAGAACAAATAAAAACATCGTTAAGTTCCGGGCCGAATCATGAAGTGGACATTAAAATTACATAAATCGAGGTCTTCCTGGAGAAAACGAATTACCAAATTACAGACATTCAAGACCTTACACCTTAAGAATACTGAAAATGACGCGTGACGTTTGAAAAATATTTCTGAAATCCAAAAAATACCGAATGTTGTGGCTTGTGTTATATAGGTGTTGTTATATGGGAACCCAATATATCAAATTACATCGAATTCAGTTAAAATACAATTCCCAACATCAACAAAATACGGAATATTGGGGGTACCGTTATAAGATGACTATACCAACACGTGGACCGGTATATCCCGTTTGCAACACCAAACATATTTGATGTTTATGCAAATATGCAAAGCTATACCTTAAGTTTTGCACTCTCTATCGTGATATCAACAAACATACTGGTAAAACTATTTTCAAATAATTGACGTCAATCAAGGACCTGTAAAAACTTTTTTGAAATAATCGACGCCAATATCAAATTACAACCAAATCAGTTAAAATAAAATTCCCAATATCCACAAAATACAGAATATTGGGGGTAACTTTATAAGATGAATATACCAACATGTGGACTGGTATATCCTGTTTGCAATACCGAACATACTTGATGTTCTAGCAATGTCTGTGCAAAATTTCAAAGCTATGCCTTAAGTTTTGCGGTCTCTATCGTGATATCAACAAACATACTGGTAAAAATATTTTCAAATAATTGACGCCAATTGAGGACCTGCAAAATTTTTTTTCAGATAATCGACGCCAATAAATTCACATCTATTGAGGGTCTGAATAAAATATTAAAAAAATAATCTACTATAGATCCACGCCTATTGAGACCCCTTAATAAAATATCTAAAAAAATCTCCTATAGATCCACGCCTATTGAGGCCCCTGAAAAATATTATTTACAAATCCGTGCCTATTGATACTCCTGAAAAATGTTATTATTTACAAATCCGCGCCTATTGATACTCCTGAAAAATGTTATTATTTACAAATCCGCGCCTATTGATACTCCTGAAAAATGTTATTTTATAAATCCACGCCTATTGAGACCCCTGAAAAACATTATTGTATAAATCCACACATTTTGAGGGTTTAGAAATATTCTTTAAAAAGAATCCACGCCTTTTGAGGCCCTAGAAATATTCTTAAAAAAACCAGGGGCTTTTGAGGTCCTAGAAATATTACATTGAAAAACACGCCTTTTGAGGTCCTTCAAAAATTACTTTAAAAAACACGAATTTGAGGTCCTTGAAATATTATTTTTAAAAAACCTACGCCTTTTCAGGTCCAAAAAATATTTTTAAAGATGTCTATGCCTGCCGAGGTTTTAGAGATATTATTTTTAATAAAAGCCACGCCTTTTGAGGTACTAGAAATATTAGTTTTAAAGAAATCCAAGCCTTTTGAGGTCATTAACATATTATTTTTGAAGAAATCCAAGCCTTTTGACATATTAGAAATATTACTTTAAAAAATTTATGTCATTTGAGGTCCTTGATATATTATTTTTAAAAAACCCAGACCTTTTAAAAAATCCACATATTGTGATTCTCGAAAAAAATATTTTCAAAAAATCTTTGTCTCCCTGAAAAATGTTTAAAAAAGTCTTACCTGATCAGAGAAAAAAATCTGTAAAAAATCTACATTTTGTGTTTATATTTTTATCAGTTTCCGTTTCAGAAAATGTCTTATTATTTTGTACTCAAAGAGTAATTTTAACATTTTATCCCTTCTATTAGTTTTTTTACTATTAAAAGGGTACAGGAACAGAAACAATATATTTTCTCGATAATTCCTATTGATTTCATTGTATCATCCATTTAGCGTTTTTTAATAAATTCCTCTTGTTTCACTTTGGGCCCATTGACAACACAGTTTCTCGCAAAAGCTTCTTCATCTTCAGTCTGTCAATTTCTGTTAAGTGCGGTCGGTTGCAAATTCTAGTCGTTGATCGTAAATGTTTAAATTAAAGGCAAATATTAAGATAACATTTAAAGAAAACGTGTAAAAAGTATTAAATATTATTCGTGTAATTGTTTTAATATGAAATGCAAGTGTTTTCAGTTGTAATTTGTCAAAATAAGCCGAGTTTTGTCTTCAAAAATGTTTGCCACATTCCTTTGTCAATTCATTCGTGTGTCCGTGAGTTTCATAAGAGATGAGAGAGAGACGTTCGTGTGATGTTGTTGTTTATGTGTCGTTTGATAGTTATTTGCGTTTTAAAACAAGTGATCGTTGATGCGTGCGTAAAGAAATCTTGAATAATTATAAAGAAATAAATGGAAATAATTAATTTAAAAATTTAAATTTATTTGAATCAAATTCATTTTGTGTTAGTAAACAAATGATAAGATGAAAGTGTTGTGATGGTGCTCTCATCACTGATGATGCTCTCCTTCGCTGAGACAAGGAGCCTCATATTAAAATGCCACTTCATTGAAATGTCAGAGTGGCCGGTTGCAATTAAAGGTCGTCAGTTGAAAATAAAAAAATACATACAAAAATTATCAAAATCAGAAAGAAAAAAATACATAATTTATATTGTTTTTATCGCTGTAATATCAGGTCTTTAAAAAATCCTCAAAATTGAAATTATAATAAAAATTCGTGTCGCGTATCGGGTTAGATCGGTTTATTATAGTGTCGTTTAAATTTTGTAGAAAAATGTATCGCAAACTTTAGTGAAATATATTGGTAAGCACTTCAATAAAATATAAAAAAATTAAATTTTTCTATAGAAAAATAGTCCTCAGAGGACCTGAGGATTTTTTTCTATAGAAAAATAGTCCTCAGAGGACCTGAGGATTTTTTTCTATAGAAAAATAGTCCTCAGAGGACCTGAGGATTTTTTTTTTCTATAGAAAAATAGTCCTCAGAGGATAGAAAAATACTCTTAACAAAACCTGAGGATTTTTTCTATAGAAAAATAGTCCTCAGAGGACCTGAGGAATTTTTTCTATAGAAAAATAGTCCTCAGAGGACCTGAGGATTTTTTTTTATAGAAAAATAGTCCTCATAGGAGCTGAGAATTTTTTTCTATAGAAAAATAGTCCTCAGGCGAACTGAGGATTTTTTTCTTTAGAAAAATAGTCCTCAGAGGACCTGAAGAATTTTTTTCTATAGAAAAATAGTCCTCAGGCGAACTGAGGAATTTTTTTCTATAGAAAAATAGTCCTCAGGCGAACTGAGGAATTTTTGTCTATAGAAAAATAGTCCTCAGGCGAGCTGAGGAATTTTTTTCTATAGAAAAATAGTCCTCAGGCGAACTGAGGAATTTTTTTCTATAGAAAAATAGTCCTCAGGCGAACTGAGGAATTTTTTTCTATAGAAAAATAGTCCTCAGGCGAACTGAGGAATTTTTTTCTATAGAAAAATAGTCCTCAGGCGAACTGAGGAATTTTTTCTATAGAAAAATAGTCCTCAGGCGAACTGAGGAATTTTTTTCTATAGAAAAATAGTCCTCAGGCGAACTGAGGAATTTTTTTCTATAGAAAAATAGTCCTCAGGCGAACTGAGGAATTTTTTTCTATAGAAAAATAGTCCTCAGGCGAACTGAGGAATTTTTTTCTATAGAAAAATAGTCCTCAGGCGAACTGAGGAAAAAACATTTTTAATATTTCACGCCTGTAATTTAATTTGTTATTAATGCCTTCTTCTAAATTTATTTTATTTACAGAAGTGGCTTCGAAGGTGAACCCTGCCTGCTGCGTTTGATTTGTGAAACAAACTCTTCGGAATTGGGTGATATTAACGGTGTCCTGGGCAGTATAATGCATGTTATGTTTTCGTAAGTATTACCACTTTTCATTTTACTTTTCAGATAATAATTGTCCGTCCGACACTCCTTTTAAAGGCCCACAACATCGAGAAATGAAAACTTACCGCTCCAGTATTACCAGGCCGAAGTGGATGGCATTCATGATCAGTGTCATCATTATGAGGAGGTTTGTTCACAGAGTATACTGGATTTAATATCAACGCCGGTCCACGAACTTATTGATAATTTAATGAACAATAAAATATAAGGAAACCAGTATTTTGTGTTTATTTTTTTAATTTTAAGCAATATTAGAACAATCTGGAAATAAAAAATCTTCCACTTCTTTTTCGCTTGAAAAATAATGCAAATACGTAAGCTACTTAAGCTCTAAAATTAAATCCTTAAAAAAAGGACATTATCACTTGTTGCCTAATTCAGAAGGTCATCTTGCCGTGCTGCCAATGCTGCCTTAGCAACCGGCCTACAAATGCTGGTAGCATTCGTTCTTTGAGAAATTTGCAAACTCTGCTACCAGCAGTTAAATGTCGACAACAATTATGCAAATGACGTTAATGCTTAAAAGCAGGAGGGCGGTATAGTGGCTTTGTTTTGTCAAATAGCCCACTTACTTGTGAGTGATTAAATTTCACTTTCAATTAGATTCGGAATTTGGTAACAAAGAAAAAGTAGCTGATTACAAATGACCTAATGAGGAATGGAAAGTAAATAAAAAAATGGTCATTAAAAATATTTTTGAATAAATACACCCCTTGTTTATCTCCTTGGATAGCACTTTATATGCGATGGGAAGGAGACTTATTCCTCTATAGTTGGCATATATCGTCTTGTCTCCTTTTTTGTGCACGGGACACATGATGCTGAGGTTCCAATCATTGGGCATGCTTTCCTCTAGCCAAATTGTACTAATCAGCAGGTGCATGCTCCTTAACAGCATCTGGACACCAGTTTTGAATAGTTCGCCTTGTAAACCATCGATTGATTGCTATTCTGACCTCATCTTGGCTAGGTGGTATACGCTCTATACCGTTATCTATTATTGGTTCTGGGGTATGCTTTTCACCGCTACTATTTGATACCAGAAGTTTTTCAAAATGCTCCTTCCTGATCCTGAACACGCTGTCTGTATCTGTCACCAGGTTTCCTTCTTCATTTCTACAGGAGGATGTGCCAGCACCAAAGCCTTCTGTTTGGTGTTTTACCCGTTGGTAGAATTTTCCGACTTCATTTTGACACCTGTACATCTCGATTTGCTCACGCTCACGTTTTTCTTGTTCTTTCTTCTTTTTTCTTAAAATACGTTTCTCCTCTCTCCTTTTCTCCCGATAGTTCTCCATCGCATTACGTGTTGCTACTGTCCGCAAGGTTGCCCTATACGCTGCATTTTTCATATCAGTAGCATTTCGACACTCCTGATCGTACCACGGATTTCTTGATGGCGGTCTTTGGTACCCAAGTGTTGCTTTAGCTGCAGTTTGTAGGCGATTCTCTGCCGTTGTGCTTCTATATTATTATCGGGACAAGGGGTGCTTTCGTCAAGCAGTTGGGTAAGTTGAGCGGAGTAGGCTTCTGCTATCCCCTGTGTTTGAAGCTTTTCGACGTCAAATTTCCGTGTTACATTAGATCGCACCTTTGCTGCTATATTAAGACGGGTGCGTACCTTGGCTGCCACAAGGTAATGGTCCGATATTCACTCTTCGGATCGATCGGACGTCTAAAACACTGGATGAATGCCTTCCGTCTATCACAACATGATCGATTTGATTTCTCGTTGTTCGATCGGGAGAAATCCAAGTGGCCTTGTGTATATCGAGATGCTTGAATCTGGTGCTGCTAACTACCATGTTTTTTGTTGCCGCGAAGTTAATCAACTTCATGTCGTTGTCTGATGTTTCTTCATGGAGGCTGAATTTTCCGACGGTGGAGCCAAAAATTTTAATGTCGTGGTCTGGGCAGCGGTCATATGCGGTTTCTAGGCGCTCGTAAAAAATGTCTTTGGTCTGTTCATCTTTGTCTTCCGTCGGTACATGGGCACAAATAAGACTGATGTAGAACAACTTCGCTTTTATACGGATTATACCAATTCGTTCATCTACTGGTGTGAATCTGGAGACGAGGTCTTTTATTCTCCTGTTAACCATAAATCCGCAGCCAAATTCACGTCTCGTTTCATGGCAGCTATAATACAGGGCGTAATCATCTGATTTACTTACGCCTTTCCTTTCTTTCGGCTTTGTACTTCCTGTTCCGCCAAAGCGAACACTGCGCCTGTCCTGTATAACGTGCGCACATTCCAAGTGCAACATTAGCTGGATTTGGTTTTCTTTTTCTTTGCTTTTTAATAGTAGGTTCGGTTTTCCGAGTGTGGGCAACTAACCCAACGCCTCAACCCATTGTTTATAGTTCTTATGGGTGAACTCGCGGCACATATTAACTCACAATTTCATCGGGTGATGAAAATAGGTACCCAGGTGGCATCACGGAGAGGTCAGTGTCAACAATTAAGATGAAAGAGGGACCAAAATAAGCCTGGACTTCGCCATGTTAAAGCCAATCAAAAATCCTACCTAATCCTAACCTAAATTTAAAATTCTTTAAATTTAGGTCCATAAAAATGATTCTTCAAAAAAATCAAATCCTTTTTTAGGTCCTTAAAAATTATTCTTTTAATTCTTGAGTTCCTTCTTTAAAGTGTGGATATTTTTCATTTTGTTTAACTCCTCATCCGCTGGTGACTTAGGCGCCCTTGTAAATTGAATGTATCCTTTGATGATCTCTGAACCACTTTTTTGATTTCTATTTACATGACAACCAAATATATTTACCATAAGAAAGGACATTGCAATCCTAGAAATACTTGTTTTTTTGAAATGCTAAAATGTTGTGACCTCTGTCAAAATATTTTTCCTGTTTTGTCACTTAAGGGATATTTTTTCTGTGCTGCTAAAATATGCAAATCAAATTCTGTATTTGACACAAAAGCAAAATGGGTTTGAAGACTGAGAAAGGATGTAATTTTCCCAGCCACAAAAAAAGGATTTTAAAATTTACAATAAATATCCTTTTTGATATTTACCACATTAAAAGGACATACATTAGAAGATTTTGTCATCATCTCTCCCCCAGGAAGGACACGCTGCTGTGCGGATAATTAAAAGAAAATATGCTAATTAAAATGTATTGCAGTTATTGTGTTCAGTCATCTCCTTTCCCTTCGTATGAACATTGCAGGTCCTTTAGCTTATTCTTCCTCTGCTACTATTTCTTCATCGTGTGCTAATGAGAAAATTAATGATATAACGGTACTAAATGATTTAACAATTTCCTTTGCTTGAGTTTTTCCTTCTTGTTAGCATCTGCTGATAAAGTAGTTCATCAATATTCAAGGATATCATTTTTCTTACAGGATGTGTTTTTGCTCTGTTGTTGTGATTTTCAAGAGGATGTTATCATTGTTCATTAGTTTCTCCTTTTTTTACCAGCACTCCTTACTTCGTTTATTAGTTTTATTGTTTCTCCAAAAAAGTTAAATTTGTTACCGACCTTTCTTGATTTTTTTATTCTTTTTGCCCTTTGTTTCTTAGGAAAGTTCCTCTTAAATTATTAATGATGAGTTCTGTTTTTTATGAGGGCGGTGATACCTTCTGCTCCGTAATCATGAAATTGCATCGACAAGTCAATGATTTTGGCCTTTACATTTCAATCATTCTCCTGTCAGAGTCCTCCTTTTAATGTTCATACTTTGTAGCTCTGGCTAATGCCATGGTCGAGGTAGATGACGATGATGGACATAAATTGTTTGCGCATATCGAAGTTCCTTTGCAGAATCCCTATTTAATCGAAGTGTCATTTCTTATTTCAACTTTGATGTTTCAATTCTGCTGATGGTGATCGATGGATGTCTAACCAAATAGGAGGACAATGAAATGTTTATTTAGTTGTTTCATTGCATGGCATTTAGAATCGACATGACCTAGAAAATGATATGAGAAGAGCAAAAAAAAAAGGATCTTAATAAGTGCAGATTTATTAAACAAATATTTTTAAGGACCTAAACAAGATTTTTAGATATGCTTTTTTAAGCACTTTCTTCTTTATAATATTTCCTGATATATATTCTGCTGTACTAAATTTGTTACACACATCCATTCGACTGCTAGTCTGCTGCTAACTATCCATTGTTAAGAGTATTTGAATTATCCCCGTTTCCTGCATCAGCTTCGTTGTAAAACTTAATCATGAGCGAGTAATTGAAATGTTGTATAAGTTCGTGAAATCCGCTTAGGCATATCGTATGTGTGTGTAATTTAGTTTCAGCAAACAAGTTAAGAAAACGGTTATACAAATCCGATTTTAAAGGATCATGGGAAAGCTATTCAACGGTAAGTGGGAGAATAGTTTGCCATTAAGGCTAACTAAGGATATTACACGTAATGACATGGCATAGTTAAGAGTAGCGGAAATTAGTCCTTGGATAAATAGTCTTTAAAAAATCCACGCCTTATATGGATGCCCAAAAATAGTCTTTAAAAAATCCACGCCTTATATGGATGCCCAAAAATAGTCTTAAAAAAATCCACGCCTTATATGGATGCCCAAAAATAGTCTTTAAAAAATCCACGCCTTACATGGATGCCCAAAAATAGTCTTTAAAAAATCCACGCCGTGCATGGATGCCCAAAAATAGTCTTAAAAAAATCCACGCCTTATATGGATGCCCAAAAATAGTCTTTAAAAAATCCACGCCTTATATGGATGCCCAAAAATAGTCTTTAAAAAATCCACGCCTTATATGGATGCCCAAAAATAGTCTTTAAAAAATCCACGCCTTATATGGATGCCCAAAAATAGTCTTTAAAAAATCCACGCCTTATATGGATGCCCAAAAATAGTCTTTAAAAAATCCACGCCTTATATGGATGCCCAAAAATAGTCTTTAAAAAATCCACGCCTTATATGGATGCCCAAAAATAGTCTTTAAAAAATCCACGCCTTATATGGATGCCCAAAAATAGTCTTTAAAAAATCCACGCCTTATATGGATGCCCAAAAATAGTTTTTAAAAAATCCACGCCTTATATGGATGCCCAAAAATAGTCTTTAAAAAATCCACGCCTTATATGGATGCCCAAAAATAGTCTTTAAAAAATCCACGCCTTATATGGATGCCGAAAAATAGTCTTTAAAAAATCCACGCCTTATATGGATGCCGAAAAATAGTCTTTAAAAAATCCACGCCTTATATGGATGCCCAAAAATAGTCTTTAAAAAATCCACGCCTTATATGGATGCCCAAAAATAGTCTTTAAAAAATCCACGCCTTATATGGATGCCTAAAATAGTCTTTAAAAAATCCACGCTTTATATATTCTTTAAAATAATCCACGCATGTCATTGTCCTTGAAAAATTATTCAGAATTCCTTATTTTAGTATAAATTGTGCCTTAATTGAATTTCATATTTTATTTACAAAAAGAAAATCACTCACAATAAAGTCGTCTCCCTATTTTAAAATTCTATACACAATTCACAAACAGCACTCCGCCCACCATCCCCTGTTTATTCCCCTGTCATAATATACACATTCGTATTTTTTTGTCCTACATGTTATTCCTTTTTAATCCTTTCGCAAATAAACACTTTTGCCAGCATTACAACGGGGATATTTGTATTTCTGAATACAAAAAATAAAAATAAAAAATACTGAAAACTTGGACAAATGTCGTCCGGTCGGTAATCACTGTTGACTGACATTTCATGTTTGTCATGAGTAAACAAAACCGAAGGAATCCGACCGACCGACAGACCAGCCATCCAGTAATGGAAGGACGAACGCCAGGAAGGCAACAAAATGTTCAGACTTTTATAGCCCAGACCTGTTCAAATAACCTGAAAGGGACATGTGAGGGTATTTGGGAAGTTCTTTGCATTTGAAAATATATATGAAAGTAATTTTTGCAACAACAACAATAAATGCAAAAATTGAATTTGTAAATATTTCAATTATAATTTAAATATGTTTTGTATGAATGCTTGGAAATTAAAATAATTTTAAATGGAAAATGGTGTTACAAATTCAGATATTTTAAATCTTTGAAATTGTGCTGAGTATTAAAGGATATTTGTGTAAGGATTATTTTTTTTAAAGATTGCTTTTTAGGGACCTTTAATTTGAAAGTACCTTAACAAGGCGTGGATTTTGTAAACAATATTTTTAGGCACCCATACAAGGCGTGGATTTTATTAAAGCCTCTTTTTAGGCACCCATACAAGACGAGGATTTTATTAAAGCATCTTTCTAGGCACCCATACAAGGCGTGGATTTTTTAAAGACTATTTTTAGGCACCCATATAAGGCGTGGATTTTTTAAAGACTTTTTTTAGGCACCCATATAAGGCGTGGATTTTATTAAAACATATTTTAGGTACCCATACAAAGCGTGGATTTTTTAAAGACTATTTTTAGGCACCCATACAAAGCGTGGATTTTTTAAAGACTATTTTTAGGCACCCATATAAGACGTGGATTTTTTAAAGACTATTTTTAGGCACCCATATAAGACGTGGATTTTTTAAAGACTATTTTTAGGCACCCATATAAGGCGTGGATTTTATTAAAACATATTTTAAGTACCCATACAAGGCGTGGATTTTTTAAAGACTATTTTTAGGCATCCATATAAGGCGTGGATTTTATTAAAACATATTTTAAGTACCCATACAAGGCGTGGATTTTTTAAAGACTATTTTTAGGCACCCATATAAGGCGTGGATTTTATTAAAACATATTTTAAGTACCCATACAAGGCGTGGATTTTATTAAAGCATCTTTTTAGACACCCATACAAGGCTTGGATTTTATTAAAGCATCTTTTTAGGCACCCACACAAGACGTGGATTTTATTAAAGCATATTTTTAGGGACCCATACAAGACGTGGATTTTATTAAAGCATCTTTTTAGGCAGCCATACAAGGCGTGGATTTTTTAAAGAATATTTTTAGGCAGCCACACAAGGTGTGGATTTTTTAAAGAATATTTTTAGGCAGCCATACAAGGCGTGGATTTTATTAAAGCATCTTTTTAGGAACCCACACAAGGCGTGGATTTTTTAAAAAATATTTTTAGGCAGCCATACAAGGCGTGAATTTTTTAAAGAATATTTTTAGGCAGCCATACAAGGCGTGGATTTTTTAAAGAATATTTTTAGGCAGCCATACAAGGCGTGGATTTTTTAAAGAATATTTTTAGGCAGCCATACAAGGCGTGGATTTTTTAAAGAATATTTTTAGGCAGCCATACAAGGCGTGGATTTTTTAAAGAATATTTTTAGGCAGCCATACAAGGCGTGGATTTTTTAAAGAATATTTTTAGGCAGCCATACAAGGCGTGGATTTTTTAAAGAATATTTTTAGGCAGCCATACAAGGCGTGGATTTTTTAAAGAATATTTTTAGGCAGCCATACAAGGCGTGGATTTTTTAAAGAATATTTTTAGGCAGCCATACAAGGCGTGGATTTTTTAAAGAATATTTTTAGGCAGCCATACAAGGCGTGGATTTTTTAAAGAATATTTTTAGGCAGCCATACAAGGCGTGGATTTTTTAAAGAATATTTTTAGGCAGCCATACAAGGCGTGGATTTTTTAAAGAATATTTTTAGGCAGCCATACAAGGCGTGGATTTTTTAAAGAATATTTTTAGGCAGCCATACAAGGCGTGGATTTTTTAAAGAATATTTTTAGGCAGCCATACAAGGCGTGGATTTTTTAAAGAATATTTTTAGGCAGCCATACAAGGCGTGGATTTTTTAAAGAATATTTTTAGGCAGCCATACAAGGCGTGGATTTTTTAAAGAATATTTTTAGGCAGCCATACAAGGCGTGGATTTTTTAAAGAATATTTTTAGGCAGCCATACAAGACGTGGATTTTTTAAAGGATATTTTTAGGCAGCCATACAAGGCGTGGAAATATTTCCATGGACCATTAACACGTTTGTTGTCGGTGTATCACAACTATGTTTTGGTTGAAAATGAAAGTGAAAAAAATAATAACAAAAGCAAAACAATCAACCAGAGGCCAAAGAACTTTCATAGAGGTCATCGGAAAAACAACAGGAAATCATTAACTAAAAGCTTGGAACTAACTACTAAGATTTTTTAAAGAATATTTTTAGGCAGCCATACAAGACGTGGATTTTTTAAAGGATATTTTTAGGCAGCCATACAAGGCGTGGAAATATTTTCCATGGACCATTAACACGTTTGTTGTCGGTGTATCACAACTATGTTTTGGTTGAAAATGAAAGTGAAAAAAATAATAACAAAAGCAAAACAATCAACCAGAGGCCAAAGAACTTTCATAGAGGTCATCGGAAAAACAACAGGAAATCATTAACTAAAAGCTTGGAACTAACTACTAACCACGTTTATGATTCCATTGACCCAGAGGTGATGATGATTATATTGACCTTGGAATGAGATTGTGACAACAAAGTGTTTATAAAATTAGTTTTATACATGTAACCTCACACAAAATGGCACAATTAACCTCTAATACCTTCCGCCATGGTGTCATGGTAGGAGGAAGTCAATTGCTGTGGGTCATCAACCAGGGGAGGGAGTATGAATTATATTTTTTTTAAATTTTATTATTCAAATAACATAACATATTTGTCACTAATTATTGGAGAATAAATATAGACAAAATTAGCCAAAACCAAACGGGTCATAGATTATTCTCAGCACACACACACCCATGAAATATGTGTGTGCCTGTGTGTGGGTAATTTTTTAATTGAGGCAATTCATTGGACCATGGAACTACTGATGTTGACCAATATTTTTATTATATGGTCAATTGGCTATTTGATCACGTCATCTATCGGCGAGGGGCAGGGAAATTAATTTTAAACATTTCAATTGAAATCCAGCTCACCTATATAAATATGAAATACTTTTCAAAATGCCAATCATTTTTTCAACACCTACATTTATTATCAGAGCTCAAATTTTTCTAAGTCCACTTGTGAATAACTACTGCAATGGATTTCAAAGTGAATTTCGTATTGAATGAAAATATCTTCAAATTAATTCTAGTTATCCTGTTCACAATTGTAAGCCCCATTATTTGAGACATAAAAAAGTTTTGTGATTTAAATAATATTAAAAACATTTTTTTTTGATTAGATAACCAAAACAAATGCTGCGGCCACCAATGGAATGATGGGAGCCTTTAACTGCTCTCAACCACCGAAATTTGAAAACTTTGTAAGTAATAACTTTAAGACGATTTTTTTAAGGACCCAAACAAGTTTATAAGAGGATTCGATTTTTAAAAATATTTGTTCAAGGTCCTAGATATGCGCTGATTTTTTAAAAATATTTTAATGGACCAATTAAGATTTTTTTAAGAATATTTTTTCTAGGTCCTAGATAGGCGTGGATTTTTTTTATAGAATTTTTTTCTGGGTCCTTATTTGGCGTGCATATTTTAATGAATATTTGTTTGGTTCCTAATTAGGCCTGGATTTTGGCGTTGATTTTTTATAGATTTTTTTGGTCCTAATAAGGAAGAACATTTTTCTAGGTCCTAGGCGTGCATTTTTTAATGAATATTTTTTTCAAATATTTTTTTTTCAAATTGCTATTCTGTATCAATATATATTTTTTTTATTTTTTCAGGACATTAGCAAATGCTGCCGTTTGCCGAACATAAATCTGGGACCTGTTGTGGAAAAATGTCACAAGCATGTTAAGTCACTGAAATCGCATAATGCCAACTATCCTGCCTATGCTCATGTGGTAAGTAGGAACCATCATAAAAATATTTTCACATCCTCTATTCATTACTTAAGGCTTATTAACCCTGATAATAAATATTTTTAAACATATTCACATACACATTATCCATCATCGGAATATCCATCCAGCCCATTTGGCGTTATCTCTACTGAAAATCGCCGAGTTCATTTATTATTTGTAACAAAACTAGCAATAAACGACAAAATGGCCAATAAAACCATTTGGCAAATTTGCAAAAAAAAAAAAAGAAACGATATCATTTATAAAACAAAATGGAAATCCTTCTTTAATATTCATATCCTTAATAGTACATTTCTGTTGTTGTTTCATTTTCTTTGTCGTTTTATTCCTGTGTGACCTTTCTACAAATCCCATTGACACATTACCATTGATGACCCATCATATATGTGTGTATTCGTGCGTGATGCCATCATCGTCGATGTCGTGATCAGTGCTATCCTGAATGTATTTATCGTGAAACGGGTGCCTTTATTAATGGCGATATTCAGATGGACACGGTCCAAAACTTTTTACAAAACAACATCGAACAACGTGATAAGATTATTGTGCCGACCATTGTCACATCCTTCCAGACATGCATGGCCAACAGTATGTATTAATAATTGTGTGTATATGTATGTATGTGTGGGTGGGTGTGTGTGATGTAATATGGAATATTGTCATATTCATTTTGTGTGTTTTATGGCCGTTTTGATGTGGGTTATGCCGATTGATGGATTAGTGATGGAAAGAAGGACTTTGAATAGTCGGCAAAATCCACAACATTTTTTCAGGATCTAATTGAGGCATGGATTTTTTAAAGAATATTTTTTCGAGGGCCATAAGAGGCGTGGATTTTTTTAAAGAATATCTTTTCAAGGGCCATAAGAGGCGTGGATTATTTAAAGAATATTTTTCGACGGCCATAAGAGGCGTGGCTTTCTAAAAGAATATTTTTCGAGGGCCATAAGAGGCGTCGCTTTTTAAAAGAATATTTTTCGAGGGCCATAAGAGGCGTGGCTTTCTAAAAGAATATTTTTCGAGGGCCATAAGAGGCGTGGCTTTTTAAAAGAATATTTTTCGAGGGCCAAAAGAAGCGTGGATTTTTTTAAAGAATATTTTTTTCGCGGGCCATAAGAGGCGTGGATTTTTTTAAAGAATATTTTTTTCGCGGGCCATAAGAGGCGTGGATTTTTTAAAGAATAGTTTTTCGAGGGCCAAAAGAGGCGTGGATTTTTTAAAGAATAGTTTTCGAGGGCCAAAAGAGGCGTGGATTGTTTAAAAAATAGTTTTTTCGTGGGCCATAAGAGGCGTGGATTTTTTTAAAGAATAGTTTTTCGAGGGTCATAAGAGGCGTGGATTTTTTTAAAGAATAGTTTTTCGCGGGCCATAAGAGGCGTGGATTTTTTTAAAGAATATTTTTTTCGCGTGCCATAAGAGGCGTGGATTTTTTAAAGAATAGTTTTTCGAGGGCCAAATGAGGCGTGGATTTTTTACAGAATAGTTTTTCGAGGGCCAAATGAGGCGTGGATTTTTTACAGAATAGTTTTTCGAGGGCCAAAAGAGGCGTGGATTTTTTACAGAATAGTTTTTCGAGGGCCAAAAGAGGCGTGGATTTTTTAAAGAATAGTTTTCGACGGCCAAAAGAGGCGTGGATTGTTTAAAGAATAGTTTTTCGAGAGCCAAAAGAGGCGTGGATTGTTTAAAGAATAGTTTTTCGAGAGCCAAAAGAGGCGTGGATTTTTTAAAGAATAGTTTATCGAGGGCCTATATGAGAGGCGTGGATTTTTTAAAGAATATTTTTTCAAGGATTTTTTAAAGAATATTTTTTTAAGGGCCCAAACTATTCGTGGATTTTTTAAAGAATATTTTTTCAAGGATTTTTTAAAGAATATTTTTTTAAGGGCCCAAACTATTCGTGGATTTTTTAAAGAATATTTTTTAAGGCCCAAACTATTCGTGGATTTTTTAAAGAATATTTTTTAAGGCCCAAACTATTCGTGGATTTTTTAAAAAATATTTTTCAGGGACCTAGAATACTCATCCTACTTAGCCTTTGTGGGCATATGTTCAATCATAAAATTTTTCACATTCCCCTTTCCCTCGCATATCCACATTTCCTCAATGCAAATACCCATATCGTGTGCACTCATCTAGAAAATTGTCACAGTCATACTCACAGCTATCTATCCATCCATCCCAAAAGACTTACCAGAAGAACATTCATTTCTAAAGATAACTGCCAAACATTTCGTTGTCCTAACCAACCACTCGAACTATCTGCAAAAACCAACATGCGAACAATTCCCACATGCTTTCTTTTACAGCCTTGTAAAATAGATCCTAAAAACGACATCGAAAAAAAACTAATTGTCATTTGTATCCTTTTATCTCCCATTCTCCTTCCTTTCTCTTTTTTTTCACAGTCAAAAACACGATGCAGGCCAAAGGCATCAAAAGTTATCCGAAAATCGATGGCTTAGGCTGTTCTCCATATGCCAGCATGGTTTATGGTTGTGTAAATGCCGAAACATTCCTGCACTGCCCGCCGGAGATGTGGCAGGATGATAGTTCATGTAATGTGGCGAAAAACTTTGCTCTACAATGTAACCCTTTGCCGCACGTCCCACTGCCAATGATTTAATTATGGCTAAGCGGATTAGCATGCGGACAAAGGCATTTTACGGTGGGAGGGATATCCCATCTGTCCATCCCTGAGGTTATGTTTAGTTTTAAGTTTGTTAATGTTATATAAACACATACATACAAAAATAAATACATTTAATACATATTTACAAAGTGTTTAATAAGAATGAGTTAACTAATGACCAGTAATGATGGTGGGACTGGTTGTCCCTGGCATGGATTTTTAAAATTATGTTTTCAGGGACTACTAGTGGGTGTGGATTTTTTAAAAATATTTTAAAGGGACTACCAGTGGGCGTGGATTTTTTAAAAGTATTTTTGAGGCATATTTTAAAAATACTTTTTCCGGGACTTGATATACCGTGCATTTTTTTAAATTGCCACACTCGGAAAACCGAACCTACTATGAAAAAGCAAAGAAAAAGAATAACAAACCCACCTAATGTTGGCGACCCCGCAAACGTATAAAGGACCACGATATGCGAATCTGCACTTGGAATGTGCACATGTTGTACAGAACAGGCGCAGTGTTCGCCTTGGCGTATGTACTCGAGAAGTACCATCGAGGAAATGCGATGGAAAGGGATTGGCGTAGGTAAATCAGATGATTACGCCCTGTATTATAGCTGCCATTAAACGAGACGTGGATTTGGCTGCGGATTTATGGTCAACAGGAGAATAAAAGACCTCGTCTCCAGATTCACTCCAGTAGATGAGCGAATTTCTATAATCTTCTACGCCCATATTTTACGAGCGCCTAGAAACAGCATATGATCGTTGCCCTGGCCATGACATTAAAATTCTGCTAGGAGATTTTAATGCAAAAATCGGAAGGGAAAATATCTTTGGCCCCACCGTCGGAAAATTCAGACAACGGCATGAGGTTGATTAACTTCGCGGCAGCAAAAAATATGGTAGTTAGCAGCACCAGATTCAAGCATCTCGATATACACAAGGCCACTTGGATTTCTCCCGATCGAACAACGAGAAATCAAATCGATCATGTTGCGATAGACGGAAGGCATTCATCCAGTGTTTTAGACGTCCGATCAGCCCGGGGAGCGAATATCGATTCGGACCATTACCTTGTGGCAGCCAAGGTACGCACCCTTGGCTGCCACAATGGTGCGATCTAACACAACACGGAAACTCCACGTCGAAAAGCTGCAAACTGCTTGATTACCCAACTGCTTGGCGAAAGCACCCCTTGTCCCGATAATAATATAGAAGCACAATGGCAGAGAATTGCTTACAAACTGCAGCTAAAGCAACACTTGGGTACCAAAGACCACCATCAAGAAATCCGTGGTACGATTAGGAGTGTCGAAATGCTACTGATCTGAAAAAAGCAGCATATACGGCAACCCTGCGGACAGTAGCAACACGTAATGCGATGGAGAACTATCGGGAGAAAAGGAGACAGGAGAAAAGGAGACTGGATAAACGTATTTTCAGAAAAAAAGAAGAAAGAACAAGAAAAACGTGAACGTGAGCAAATCGAGATGTAAAGGAGTCAGAATGAAGTCCGAAAATTCTACCAACGGGTAAAATACCAAGCCGAAGTCTTTGGTGCAGGCACATCCTCCCGTAGAGATGAAGAAGGAAACCTGGTGACAGATGCAGACAGCGTGCTGAGGATCTGCAAGAAGCATTTTGAAAAACTTCTGGTATCAACAAGTAGCGGTGAAGAGGATACCCCAGAACCAATAATAGATGATGGTATAGAGTGTATACCACCTAGCCAAGATGAAGTCAGAATAGCAATCAATCGGCTGAAGAATAATAATGCAGCAGGTGCCGATGGGTTACAAGCTGAACTATTCAAGACGGGTGGTCAGTTGCTGGTAAGGAGCATGCAGCAGCTGATTAGTACAATTTGATTAGAAGAATGCATGCTCAATGATTTTGTCCCGTGCACAAAAAAGGAGACAAGACGATATGTGCCAACTATAGAGGAATAAGTCTCCTTCCCATCGCATATAAAGTGCTATCCAGCGTACTGTGTGAACGACTGAAGCCAATGGTCAATGACATTATTGGACCATACCAATGAGGCTTCAGACCTGGCAAATCCACCATTGACCAGATTTTTACTCTGCGCCAAAACCTGGAAAAAAACCACATCGACACATTCCACCTATTCGTCGACTATAAAGTCGCATTCGACAGCCCTATCCGTTCAGAGGTGTTAAAGCCATTTCTGTGTTTGGCATTCCTGCAAAATTAATTCGGCTATGCAGGATAACTTTAACTGGCGCAAGATCAGCAGTTATAGTCGGAAAGGACCTCTCGGAGCCTTTTAATACCGAACGAGGATTCAGACAAGGTGACAGATTGTCGTGTAATCTTTTTAACATCCTGCTGGAAAAGGTTATACGAGACGCAAAGGTGAACAGAAATGGCACTCTGTACACCAAACAACACCAGTTACTCGCCTACGCCGATGACATCGACATAATGGGTCGAACATTGAGAGCGGTAACATCCACCTTTGAACAAATTGAGAAGGAGTCTGCCAAAGTGGGTCTGGCAGTAAACGGCGAGAATACCATGCTGATGGTATCAACGTGCAAGACGTCCAGTAGACACGGACCAACTGTGGAACTTGAGAACTACAGCTTTGAGGTAGTCAAACATTTTATATCCCTTGGTACCGCCATAAATAAAACGAATGACATCAGTTTTGAAATTCGGAGAAGGATAGTGATGGCCAACAAATGCTATTATGGTCTGAGCAAACAACTCAAAAGCAAAGCCACCTCCCGCCGACCAAACTCACACTTTAGAAGACGCTGATACTACCCGTGCTATTATATGGTTCTGAAGCATGGGTACTTGAGCAGGCAGATGAGGCAGCTCTTGGAATGTTTGAGAGAAAATTTCTCCGAAAGATCTATGGACCGATCTGAGTTTTTAAAATATTTTTTCAGGGACTAGGCGTGGATTTTTTTAAAATATTTTTTCAGGGACTACCAGAAGGCATTGTTTTTTTAACAATATTTTTTAGGGACACAAAACAAGGCATGGATTTGTTTAAAATTTTTTTTTCAGGGATTGCCAGGTTTTTGAACAAAGAACTTTCCATTTGTTTAATAATATCTATTTATTAACTTTTTACTAATCAATTTCATAAGTAGCATCGCTTTGGAAATGTTCATCCATATCAACATGGAAATCTGAGGTATCGTCATTATTATAATCATCCTCCTCCTCCTTCATATGGTCTATGTAGGGAGCATCATAGGAATCACTGAAAACGTTTTCTATAAAAATATTTGTTGAATTAAAAGATACAACTAAAAAATACTCTGAAATCTCACCCTTATCCAAATGCTGGAACAGATGTTGAAATCGGGGATCCTCTCGCATTTGCCGCATAATTTCCTTTAAAAGCCTCGGATCGATTTGTGAAGAATCGTAGACCATATTCTCACCATTGCCCATAAAATCAGAATACGGGTATGAGGTATCACTGTACATATCGTCCACACCTCCACATGAATCGGCGGGCATCCAATTTGTATCGAGGTCATCCTCATAGTGATCATCGGCCAGACCAAAACGTTTCAAGTCGTTCTGAAATACGAAAATTATTTTCAATTATTTTCTTTATACAAAATTCGAGTTTCAAAAATTTACCTCATTTTCAATAATAAAATCTTTTATATCCGCCCAGGTGGTGGCTACCAGCTGCATTAATGTAACCACAAATATGTGTTCGGTTTTCATGCTGGCACGAATTGAAATGCCCGATTTTATTTTGGAAACGAATATTTTTGGACATTGAACAGCACTCAGACCGAATTATTATTTTTTTTTTTTCGATAATCATCTTTATGGTAAATTTGTTGCATTGAGTATGAGGGAGCTGGGGGGAGAGAGAGAAACGGGGGTGGTTCTAATGAATGTGTGTGTGTTTGTGAATGTGTGTGTGATTATTTTGAATATATATTTGTATTTTGGTGAAACTGTAATTAGTTGGAAAAGTACATTTCCCAAAAATATTCAAATAGAAAAAAATGAGATTTGAATCTTCTAAATATGAGAACCAGCCAGCCAATGACCTTAATTATATAACAAGGTCATATAAATGGTGGCATATTAAAAAATTCAATAGACCTTCAAGCTTTGGACTTAAAAAAACATTTTCAGGGACCAGCAATAGGCGTGGATTTTTAAACTATTTATCAGTATCTAAACAAGGCGTGGATTTTTTAAAGTTTATTTTTTATTTTTTAGGGTCCAAACCAGGCGTGGATTTTTTAAAGTTTATTTTTTAGGGTCCAAACCAGGCGTGGATTTTTTAAAGTTTATTTTTTAGGGTCCAAACCAGGCGTGGATTTTTTAAAGTTTATTTTTTAGGGTCCAAACCAGGCGTGGATTTTTTAAAGTTTATTTTTTAGGGTCCAAAGAATAATTTTTAGGCGTGGATTTTTTTAAAGAATAATTTTTAGGCGTGGATTTTTTTTAAGATTTTTCTAGGCGTGGATTTTTTTTAAGATTTTTCTAGGCGTGGATTTTTTTAAAGATTATTTTTTAGGCGTGGACTTTTTTTGAGATTATTTTTTAGGCGTGGATTTTTTTAAAGATCATTTTTGAGGCGTGGATTTTTTTAAGATTTTTCTAGGCGTGGATTTTTTTAAAGATTATTTTTTAGGCGTGGATTTTTTTAAAGATCATTTTTGAGGCGTGGATTTTTTTTAAGATTTTTCTAGGCGTGGATTTTTTTAAAGATTATTTTTTAGGCGTGGACTTTTTTTGAGATTATTTTTTAGGCGTGGATTTTTTTAAAGATCATTTTTGAGGCGTGAATTTTTTTAAAGAATAATTTTTAGGCGTGGATTTTTTTAAATAATAATTTTTAGGCGTGGATTTTTTTTAAGATTTTTCTTGGCGTGGATTTTTTTAAAGATCATTTTTGAGGCGTGGATTTTTTTAAAGAATAATTTTTAGGCGTGGATTTTTTTAAAGAATAATTTTTAGGCGTGGATTTTTTTT